TGTCTACTATGGACAAACACTATGAACTAACAGTGCTGATCAGTAAGGCTAACCGTCCCCTATCTAAAGCTATATTTATATTATATATTTTCGGCACAACAGCCGGACTATTACTACTCTATCAGACACATCATCGCGAGTCCAGTAAAATATTAAAAATTTCAATGATTTTTATATTTCTATTATTTCTTATAACTGGGTTACTGGTTGGCCATCTGTGCGGTAAAGTTCCGGCCAAAGCCCACAAGTCGTACGCCATAATGTTTTCACTGTTAGCTACTAATCATCGTAAGGGTCGGCACTTGACGTTAGGTCAGCGCTTGAAATGCGAAACATTTATCGGACGACTGAGTGGACCGACAATTGGTTTCTATTGTTTATCGTTATTTCCAATGACTAATTGGGAAATATTTCAATTATTATTGATTTGTAGCTCAAATTATATGCTTATTATTGGTTTATTTTAACCAGGGTTGGTCAAGTTTTATTTTCTAAGTGGGTGGGGTGTAGTGAGGAGATAAATAATAATTATCATATATATTTATTATAATTAAAATAGTAATTTTAATTAAGTAAATATTATATGCAAGTATTGAATAAACGATTTAATTAATTCTATGCTAATATAAAACTATTATCTAAATGTTATAACATTTCCCCCAAAAAATACATTTATCATCTACAGTACTATCATAAGCACCTACACCTATCAACTAAACACAAACAGTACTACTATTTCTACGACTACTAATAATATTAATTATAAAAAATGCTTTTTATTATTGATATCTAAATATAAAACATTAATAATAAGTTAATTTTATTTGTAAATTATTTATTAAAATATTTTATTTTTATATTTATTTTGAAATAATTACTGCAAGTTTAATAACTACTGTATATTATATATTTAGTTTTAATAATTTGTAAAAACAATTTCAAAACATTTTTATTGCAAAATATTATAATATTAGTTATTTTGTTAATAAAAATTCTTAAATATTGTATCAAATAATAATAAATTATAAGCACTTATAATATATTAAATAAATAGAATTCACATATAAATAGTTAATAGTTTTAGCAAAAAAAATAAATTAGTTTTTTATACATAAAACATACATAAAAGTTAATAACTTTATTGAACTTCTTTATTGATTTATATGTAATTGAATTAATTATGTTTATATCATATTCATAATTATTATATCATAATAATAAAATTATTTCAATAATTAAAAAAATTGACACTAATTAAGAAAGCATTATACAGTATCTAAATATAAAACATTAATAGTAAGTTTGCATGTTTAGTTTAGTAAAAATGTAATTTCTTATGTAAATTATTTATTAAAATATTTTATATTTATATTAATTGTGAAATAATAACTGCAAGTCTTATAAGTTTACTTTAAAACTTAATTATATACTTAATTTAAATAATATGTAAAATCAAGTTTAGAAGCATTTCATACAAATTATATAATAATAATATTAGTAATAAAAATTATTTTCAAAAAATAAGCATGAGCAATTATTATAATTTACGTTTTGCAGATAAATTGGTTAAGTGGTTACGCAATCATTATATAATAAATTGCGATCGTATTGTTGATAAAAAATATTTGGCAATTAGTTTATTAATCAAAATTAACTCATTTATATGTAATTGTCGTGTAATTGGTTTATATATAGCGTATAACTCTAATAATACTAACGTTTGGCACAAATGGTTGATCCGTTTGCTATGCGATCCAACCTATCCGTACGGAAACTCAAAATTGATTCTCACATTCATTTTGACGGGACATTTGACAATAATTATCGGATCCTATCTAATGCTATGGTATGAACTGTTTGAAACCAATTATATTAAACAACTAATCAATGATTTGATTAATTTATGCAAATATAAAACAAGTTTGAATAATGTTAATTATGTTGAAAAGCTAGTCTACTATATAGTAGTTATCAGATTTCCTAATAAATATTTTTATTGGATTATATTTTTTTATATTTATTTTCTTATTAGTTTTCCAATGATAATTGGTTATTATGATGAGTACCTAAACTATAATTTATTTAATATTAGTATCTGTTTGGTAGTTACCGCTATTGATCTATTACATGGTCTTAATTATATTAATTTATTTGTTATCTGTACCATAGTTTTCGGTATTATTTTGGATGATTTATTATCGGAAATTGTCAAACAATTTGAATTAATCAAACAACTAAATCAATGTAAATCATTACCAATAAACACATTACTGTCTACTATTGATAAACACAATAAACTAATAGCGTTGATCAATATGGCTAACCGTCCCCTATCTAAAGCTATATTTCTTTTATATATTTTCGGCACAACTGCTATACTATTACTACTCTATCAGACACAACATCCCGAGTCCAGTCACTTATTTAAGATATCAATGATTTTTATATTTCTATTATTTCTTATAACTGGTTTACTGGTTGGCCATCTGTGCGGTAAAGTTCCGGCCAAAGCCCACAAACCGTATGCCATAATGTTTTCACTGTTAGCTAATAATCGTCGTAAGGGTCGGCACTTGACGTTAGGTCAGCGCTTGAAATGCGAAACATTTATCGGACGACTGAGTGGACCGACAATTGGTTTCTATTGTTTATCGCTATTTCCGATCAATAATTGGGAAATATTTCAAATTTTTTTAATTTGTAGCTCAAATTATTTATTTATTATAGGATTATTTTAACATTTTTATTATATTTTTTTAATTTCTCAGTTATAAATGTTTGAATTAAATAATATTTTCAATACATACATCTAATCAGTTAATTTCGTATATAAATTACTTCAAATATACAATACAAATGTCATAATTGTTTTTTTATTGTTGAAATTTTTATATACTTTTAAACTATTGATTTTGTTAAACGTTTATAATTTTGTTATAATCTGTTATAATATTTTATTATTGTTAATATTTATTGTTATTATAGTTTATTAAAATGTATTTTATTTCAACTTTATTTATGTATTAATAGTTTTTTGTTTGTTTGATAATTATCACAATTATTATGGAAAATATTATTTAAATTATAGTTAAATAAAATTATTTTACTTTTTAAAGGAAAAAATACTATTTTTGAACAGTCTTTTTTGAAACAATTTTTTTTATCTAAAACTATAATTTATTAATAAAAAAAATTAGATTAAAATAAGCTTTTAATTAAAAAAATAATAATTAATAATTAAGTAAAACTATTATTACTTTATGAGACACATCATCGCCAGTCCAGTCAATTATTTAAGACATTAATGATTTTTTACAATTAATATTAGTTCTGATAACTGGTTTACTGATTGGCTATTTGTCGGGTAAAGTGCCGGCCAAAGCCCACAAACCGTATGCCATAATGTTTTCACTGTTAGCTAATAATCGTCGTAAGGGTCGGCACTTGACGTTAGGTCAGCGCTTGAAATGCGAAACATTTATCGGACGACTGAGTGGACCGACAATTGGTTTCTATTGTTTATCAATATTTCCGGTCACTAATTGGGAAATGTTTCAAACATTTGTACTTCAAATTATTTTTTTATTATGCTTTTGTTTTAATATATTTAATTTAACTAATTATTAATAATAATACAAACAGTATTTGACTGTATTGTCTATCAATTACAATATATATATGTCTGCTATTATCTATTAAACACTTTAGTTTAAATGTTATCACAATTGTATACAAAATATAATTATGAATAACTATTGAATTAATTTTGTCATATATTTTGATATTAGTATTTTTTTTAAAAAAGTATTAATATTGTAACAAATTTTTATTTGCTTATTTATTTAAAAAAAATTTCTAATATAATATTTTATTATTAATAAACTAAAGATGTTAACAATATCTGATTTGTTTTTTAAACAAAACAATTAATAATTTGTTTGTTTGAAAAGTATTATCAAAAATTTCAATAATATTATAATGTTTACATACCATTAAATAAGCTATAAGTATAAAAATTGTAGTTTTTTTAAAATCAATATTTTTAAAAACAAATTATATATTTTAAGCTAATTTTTTATATATATTTTAGAGGGAATTATTAGAGAATTAGGGCACTATTGGAGGGAACTTTACTACTCTAGTGGTAATGCCCCCAACTCTACTACATATGTAATATCATTTAGTTAATATCATTTAGTCTTTTTTTAAATAATTTTTAAACATATATTTTGCATTTAATTAATAAATAAATAATTATTTTTATTTTTTAGGTTCAAAATAGAAAAATAATTTAATTTTTAATTGTTTTGTACATTACTGTAAATATAATGTTATGTTGATTTCTATTAATTATTTAATTAGTATTTATTTATTTATTTTCTATTAGCTTATTTAGCATTTATTTATTTTTTTAAGTTATATATTAAATTTTATATAAATTTTTGAAAAAGTATAGATTTTAGAAAAAATAAAAATTGATAGGTCGATAAATTTTTTCGAGGGGGTAAAACAAAATAATAGTAATCTCAGGAGGGGTAAACCGGCTTACCTCCCCCTATTGAAACCCTGGTATATATATATGTAAATTACCGGAAATTAATTTAATCCATAATATTGACCCCAAAACGTAAAGTATAAATCTATTTATTATTTTTTTAATTAATATAATTAATATTAAGATTTTTTTTACCCAGCTAGTTTAGTAAATAAGCAAAACTGTGCAAATTTATGAAATTAGATATCATTTTTAATAATAATAATAATAATTAAATTATTTTTGTATATAAAAAATAGTGATAATAATAATACTTTTTTTTGAACAATTATTCTAAAGTAATAATAATTATAATTAATTAATTTATATATTTAATAGTAGTAATTAATAATTACGATATATATATATATAATGAATAAATGAGTTTCTTAATATACATTGTATATATAAAACATGTTCAAGGGGGGTGGGCAAGGGAGGGAGGAGTAGAAAAAAAAATAATTTGTAAATAATAATTATTATTATTTAATAATAAGAAAAAAAATAATTGGATGAATAGATGATATAGTTTGTATCGTCCAAACAAAATGGACGATCGATCGATCGATCAATTGGTGGATCAACTAACTGGTGATATGGTGTGTGTGTGTATATATATATATATAACCATCACTTTATGTTTAGCTCTGACCATCACTACTATCACTATCGTAGTCATAGTCATCATCATCACTGCTATCATTATTATTAGTATCATCGATGGGATAATCGGCGCCACATTCCGTCAGATATCGGATAATTGTTTTCAATTTAGTATTGCTATTATTTGGGCCACATTTGGCCAACAATTTGTATGCGTATTGTACGGGCGTATAGTTAGCGTATGACCGAACCCGGACATCGGCTTTGCAGCGGTTTATCAAAAATTTTATTAAATCCAAATTCTGGGTCTCGACCGACCAGTGAAGTATAGTTTTGCCACTTTTTAACTCCTAATTAAACAAAACAACAAAAAAATTGCATTAATTATAGGTATTTATTAATTTATAAAAAATAATAGGATATGGATGTACCCATAAAAATGTCATAAAATTATCTTTCATTAAAAAAACATCATATATTTCCTTATTATAATAATAATAGTAAACTTTTTTTTCACTAAAAATAAATTGTATAAATAAATAAATTAATAAAAAAAACTATGTACTTAACGGTTTTAGTACATAATTTTTATTTATCTAAAAAAAACAATATAATAATACTAATAAATCAAAAAATTTTATATACATTTTAACAAAATAAAATTTTTCTATAATTAATTATAATAAATAATTATATATTTCTGTTTTAATTATAATAAATGCCGTTTACGACAATTAGGGTAAATCCAAAAAACATAATAATAATAATAATCATCACCAAGGTTAACTACCTGTATATTAACATCAAGTCCGCCACTATTAACAAGCAATTCAATTATGTTTTTGTTGTTATTATAGGCCGCTAAATGCAAACATGTTTCGCCTGAGAAAATAAAATGTTTCAAAAAAATTATTATTATTATATTAATAATTAAAGTATTAAAAAAAATTAAAAATAAATTTTACACTTGATTTCATACAAAATATTTATTTATAAAAAAAACAAAACGAAAACTAAGTAAAAACTTTATTTAGTTTCTAATTTTATCTGTAATTTATATATATATATATATAAATAGTGGAAAAATGCAAATTATTTCACCCGAAAAACTAATTACAGATAATTATCATTATTAATATTATTTAGTTAGAAATTAGTTTTTTTTTGTGGTTTAAATATCTTGGAAAACATAAATATATCGATAAAACTGATGAAAATAAATATATAAAAAAAATCTAAGCTTTAAAATTCTGTTTAATAAACATATCATAAAATACTAGTCATAATAATAATAATAATAAAATGTGTTTCAATATCGCAAACTTGAATTAAATAGCAATCATTATATTACTACAGTATATGGAAAAACCAAACACTTGGCTTATAATGTCATTCACAGGGACTGGGAATACCAGCTAAACATACATAAGCTGGTAATTCAAACAGTTTTTATTTAATACATACTATTGATATATGATATGGAAGATGAATGGGCACTATTAGATAAACCCAACTGTGCTCTCTCTCTCTCTCTCTCTCTCTCAAACTAACTAAATCTATATGTGTTTTTAACTAACTTTTTTGGGTCACTAGTCCATCAATTTTTTTTAAATATTAATATATAGATATATTTTAAAAATATTAAATAACAACAAAAATAGTTGATATAATCTAAAAAAATTCCCATAGATAACATTATTAAATAAAAAAATAATAACATTCAATAATAAATTAATTACATAATAAACAATAATAAAAATAAAAAAATAAAAACGTTTCTATATTACTAAATGGTAAAACCAGAAATAAAATTTTCAAAAAAAAAAAATTTATAATATAAAAACTTTTTTTGTTTGTTTGTTTGTTTGTTATACTATATGCAATGCTATGCATGATATTCATTATATATACGGTATAATCTAATAGATAATTATGAAAATACATTGGAAAATAAAGTCTAATAATTTCATTAAAATCTAATTAGTTTTTATAAAGTTATTGCAAAATAAATATATTATTATTATTTTTTAATTGTTTAGTTTAGTTGGCATTAATACAATAAAATATATGATTCATTATATTACCGGTAATTAAATTCATAAATATTACGGTAAATTACATTATAATAATTATTAGGATAACTATTATTATAAGAAAAACAAAAAGTAAAACAAAAGCACACAAACCTTCATAATTTTTAAGCCCTAAATAATCAATGGGTATATCGGGTCGGCTGTCCACTGGATAGTTGACCAGTTGTGCGTCGATTATCTCCCTGTCGTCGACAGGCGCTAGCAATTGATAGCAAGTATTGTAGTCGGACTGAGCACAGGCTATATGCAGTGCAGTATTTCCGTGTCTGTCCCGTAGGTCAAGTGTGGCACCGCTGATGACCAGTTGGCGAACAATACGGGACTGGCGGGTAAGTGCGGCCAAGTGTAACGGTGTCTGTGAAATATTGAAGAAAAATAAGTTAATTTTTAATTACGGTATATCTTAAACCGTTTTTTTTAAAGACAACATACTTGAGATAAACGATTACTAATGTCGAGAACGTCTGGATGGGGAACAAATCGGATGAAAGCATAGGACATGTCTTCGAGAGACTTAATAATAGATAAGTGTAAGAAAGTGTCGCCACTGTCGTCCTGATCGCCGCCAAAAGCGTCGACCAGTGCTGAGATACGACTGGCCGTCGACGGCGACGACTGGTGTTTGATATCACTGCCGGATGACGACGACGACGTCAACTTCGACACCAATTTTGTCGTTGTTTGGCTCTTCATATCACAAATGTCTTGTTGTCGTTGTTGTTCTCCGCCACCAATATCCAGACCAGAATCGCTGGTAATACAGACACCCGAATCGGTCCATTTGGTGGTCGTTGTCATCGTCGGCGGCGACGACATAAACAACAACTTGTCTTTGTCTGTTACGACAACACCAGTGGTGTCCGAATCGGTATCGAAATCGATGGACGTTTTGCTAACGGTTTGCGAGTCGTAACCGGAATCAAACAGCGAATCGATGGCAGAAGATATCTTTGAACTTGTATTCATGGCATCCATGGCTTGTTGTTGTTGTTGTGCTGATGATGATGATGGCTGTGATGTGGGCTCCGGAGGAATATTCCACTTAAGGCGGTCTGATTTGGTCGCCAATGACTTAGAAGATGATGAAGACTTTTGCGATGATTTTTTATCCATTATTTTATATTTGTGGTAATAATTTGTATATAAAAAATATTAATAATAATAATTAAATCAAATTAAATGTCATAACATTTCTTCGGCTAAAAAAATAATTGTTTTTTAAAAAAAAAGTTTTTTTTGTCTTCAATTTTCTTCAATAATAACAAATTTGACGATCAGTTAGTTAAGTGTCTTGAAGTTAGACTCCACTCATGAGTAATGCAAAAAAAACACATTAAAAAAACTCTTCATGTGATTCACAGCAACAGAAGAAGTGGTAATCATATGATTCAACAGAAAAATACGTTCAAACAGTCATCACATCCCAAGAAAAAATTGTTTTACTGATGAGTCAATGGATATTACCCTCTCTTTCTGGTAGTGTCACCACAACATAATACACACACACTTAAGTGATGGTGACTTACCTACCAGTGCTGGTGATGATGACGACACACACACACACACCACTGATAGATATGAAGAGCTCAATGAATTTATTGGGGAAATCACACGTCAAATGAGGTTTTTCACCAAAAAAAATAATAATTTTTTCAAAAAAAAAAAACTAATAATAAATAACTTATAATTTATATTCAATAGGAGTTTAGCAAAAAAAAAAAGTTTTGTTACATTTAAAACATAATTATTTTTTTTTTAATTATAATACAATTATAATGGACACCAAAATAATAATAATAATAATTAGTTTAATAATTTAATAATTTTTTATAAAAATTTTTTGTGTTGAACTTAAATGAAGGCTAAATTAACCAAAAAAAAACCTAAACTAAAATGTTTGGCTAAAAATTTCATATACAGAGTAATAATGGTGTCGAGGAATGGTATGATAAATAGTAAATAGCACTGTCATTACAAACATAACACAACACATACATACATACAGTCTCTCTCTCTCTCTCTCTCTTTACTCGCTTTAACTGTGTTTTACATTTTGGGAAAAACCCTGCGCTTAGTTAGGGGAGAGAGAGAGAGAGAGAGAGAGAGAGAGAGAGAGAGAGAGAGAGAGAGAGAGAGAGAGAGAGAGAGAGCACTGGTAGGTTGTAGTCATAGTAGTAGTAGTAGTGGCTTAATATGTGGCGCTTTGATAATGCAATGCCTATTACACTATCATATAATATACAGTGTATATATTGTTTATAGACCAATAGTGTTGTTAATGGGAATCCTGGTATTGTACCCATAAAAATCCCATAGTTATCATATAATGTTTATATAAACTTTTTAATATTGATAACTTGTTTTTTAAATAAATAAATAATAAAATTAGTTAACAATTAAAGGATTATTTAAAAAAAACAATTTTGTTGTTATTATTTATGTGTCGTTTATTTCGGGATTTAAAATAAAAAATTATTTATTAACATTAATAATTATTTATTTATTTTAATAAAATAGATCATAATTTATATAGTTAATTAATTTAATAGCAAGTTAATTATCATTATTAGTAATAGTATTGATTTTTTAAAAAATATATATAAAAATGACCGGGACAGGACAGTATCCACACATACACACAAATTCCGTAAATATTACATCAATAGTAATACACATAACATTTTCATATATACCTACCTACCCATTGAAAAAAAACTATAATTACTACGACTTAGACATAGTATGTCGACTTTATGGGACAGCCCTATCTCTCTATCCCTATCCCTTAAAACGTGTGTGTGTGTGTGTGTGTGTGTGTGTGTGTGTGTGTGTGTGTGTGTGTGTGTGTGTGTGTGTGTGTGTGTGTGTGTGTGTGTGTGTATGTATGTATGTGTGTGTGTCTATGATTTGAAATGCCTGTGCATAAGCACAGGTAGTTTTTAAAAAAATTTATAATATGATAAAAACTTTTTTTTTGTTGGGGTTTTTCCAACCACTACCAGATGTTACTTGTGTTTAGACTTTTTGTGTAATTGATTTCAATATAATTTATTTTATAATTTTTTTGGTAGTATTTTCTACAGTATGTAATTGTATTTATCACTAATAATTTACAGTATACTCAGTATACTATACTGTATATAATGATAATAATAATAAACATTAATGTAATTGACATCAATTATTGTTGATAAACATATATATATATAAATAATTTATAAATTATATAATATATATTAGTATTAGTAGGCAATTGACATATTAATTGGTAGTATACTTACTATCAGTGTGCAGGTAATTGACATACCGGTGCACTACTACTACTACTACACACACACACCAGACAAGTTGGTGTGTGTGTGTCAACTAATACCTCGTACCTAATATTTATATATAATTTAAAGATCACTAACATTATTAGTATTATATTATTATCACGGAAAAAATAAATAAAAAGTTTATTGACTTTTTTTAAAAAAATAATTATAAATATTTTGAATGAAACAACTATTGGAAAGTTTTTTATAGTTGTTTTGTTTGTTGTATCATAACTTTATTGTTCAAATTAAATACCTGTATATTATAAATGGGTTTTATTTTCATAAAAAGATAGTTTTATTATTATTAATTTTGAAAATTAATTGGTTAATCATTTTTTTAATGATAATAATTGGCGATACAATTAGTATATTATAACGATTAATAGCACAGTTAGTTTAGGCCTTAAACTAATTTTAATTATTATTATTTTTAAAAAAATAAAAATACATTAAAATTATAAGTAAAAAACTTTATACAGTATATTATAATATTTATTATTAAATAACTTTTTTAAAGTAATTGTATTCAAAAACATACATTTAGTTTCAAAAATAAAACGTTATTTGTATTATCAAAATACAATACAAATTGTCAAATATTTAACAACAATAGCAACAAAAAGGACTAAAACTATACAAGCATTACAGTGACAATTATAGGCCTTTTTATGATTACAACCAAAATGTAACCACAAAAAAATTGCGCGCTTTTGTCGATCCCTTTAATAAATAGTTAAATACTTTTTGTCTCATTGTTTGGCATTTAATAAATAAAAAGCATTTGTATTGTCAGTCAATAATCACTTCCTCACCAGTGAAGACATTTTTTTTGTTGGCATTGATTTAATAGACTAAAGATTTTTTAAAGACACAAACGATGGCCGGATTCGATGACTTAGGCGTCTTCTTCAACGAAAACCTATTCGACAACAACAACACCGGCGGCGACGGCACGGATGCGGCCAATGGTGGCGGTGCCGGCGGTGGACCCGTCATCGGCGGTATCAACAGTGCAGCCATTAAGAAACGATTCAAAGAATTCTTAAGACAATATCATACGACAGATTTCGAGTACAAATATCGCCAACAGATCCGCGACAGATATAACTTGGATCAGTATTGTTGCGATATTACTGTGGATGAGTTGCGTCAGTACGACGACGATTTGGCCGATCGGTTGAAGAAACAGCCGATCGATTATCTGAAACTGTTTGAATTGGCCGCCACTGAAGTGGCCGACGAAGTTACCCGACCGCGCAATGACGAACTACCCGTACGGTATATGCAAGTAATGTTGAACAGCGACGAACATCCCGTAGCGTTGCGTGAGATTAAGTCCGATCAGATCTCACGGCTGGTCAAACTACCGGGTATTGTCATTGCGGCCTCAAATGTCAGGGCAAAGGCTACGAAAATATCGCTTCAGTGTCGCGGCTGTCGCGAGATTGTCAACGATTTGAATATCAATGCCGGACTCGAGGGCTATCTGTTGCCGCGCAAGTGTAACAGCGATCAGACCGGACGGGCAGTCAAGTGTCCGATTGATCCGTATTTTATAATACCCGACCGATGCGAATGTGTCGACTTTCAGCTATTGAAACTACAGGAAGTACCCGAATCGGTACCGCACGGCGAAATGCCCAGACATTTGCAACTATACTGCGACCGGTATTTGTGCGATAAAGTCGTTCCGGGCAATCGGGTAACAATTGTCGGCATTTATTCGATTAAGAAAGTGGCCAAACCATCGAAGTCGAATGCCGGTGCAGCCGAATCCAAGTCCAATATCGGTATCCGGGCTCCGTATCTCCGGGTGGTCGGCATTCACATCAATACCGAAGGTCCCGGTCGGGCCGGTATTATTCCCTATACACCGGATGAGGAACAAATGTTTCGTCATTTGGCCAGCGATAAGCATATCTACGAACGAATTGCCCGCAGTATAGCCCCGTCGATCTACGGTGCGGTCGACATGAAGAAAGCTATTGCTTGTCTACTGTTTAGCGGTTCCCGTAAACGCTTACCCGATGGTCTTACCCGACGCGGTGACATCAATCTACTATTGCTGGGCGATCCGGGAACTGCCAAAAGTCAACTGTTGAAGTTTGTCGAAAAAGTAGCGCCCATTGGTGTCTACACATCGGGCAAAGGTAGCAGTGCTGCCGGTCTGACTGCTTCGGTCATCAGAGATCCCGCTTCGGTAAGTGGTAGTCACTTAGTCGTTGCTAAACATATTTGTTAATCAAAAAATTTATGACTTTTTTAGCGCAACTTTGTTATGGAAGGCGGAGCTATGGTTTTGGCCGACGGCGGTGTTGTCTGTATCGATGAGTTCGACAAAATGCGCGAAGACGATCGGGTGGCCATTCACGAAGCCATGGAACAGCAGACGATATCGATAGCCAAAGCGGGTATTACTACTACATTGAATTCGCGGTGTTCGGTTCTGGCCGCTGCCAACAGTGTGTTCGGCCGATGGGACGATTCGAAAGCCGATCAAAATATTGACTTTATGCCGACCATTCTGTCCCGATTCGACATGATTTTCATTGTCAAAGATGAACACAACGAACGACGAGACGCTACGATTGCCAAACACGTTATGGATGTCCACATGAATGCCCAGAAGACAGGGGCTGAAGATGCTGTCGAGGGAGAGCTGAGTTTGGATCTGTTGAAGAAGTATATCGCGTTTGTCCGATCGTAAGTGATTTTTCCGGAAAAATATATATAAATGATTTACCGGTAAATATCTTCACTAAAAACTTTCTCACATTTTCTTCTTAAAATCTTTAGGCAATGCGGTCCACGATTATCGGAATCAGCTGCCGATAAACTGAAGAAACATTATGTACTGATGAGGAATGGCAATCGAGAACACGAACAAGAGATCCAGAAAAAGTCGGCCATTCCGATAACCATCCGTCAGTTGGAAGCTGTCGTACGTATATCGGAATCGTTGGCCAAAATGCAATTACAGCCGTTTGTTACCGATGTTCACGTCGACGAAGCCCTCCGATTGTTCCGTGTGTCGACACTGGCAGCTGCCCAGTCGGGCGATTTAGCGGGTGCCGAAGGTTTCACCAGTGAAGAAGAACAACAGTCAATGTTGAGACTGGAGAAGCAAATCAAACGCCGATTTCCGATCGGCGCCCAACTCAGCCAATCGAGTATTGTCAACGACTTATCCAAACAAAACTTTACCGAACAGGCCATCCAAAAGGTATTGTATTGTATGATAAGGAAGGGCGAGATTCAGCACCGGATGCAAAGGAAAATGCTTTACCGACTCAAATAAATTTGATGGCCACTGCTGGAGGACTTCTGGAGGAAGGGGTCTTACAATTATCAATCATACAATCAGATCGTCATTTTAAATGTGTTTTTTTCTCATTCAATCAATAAGTTTTGATTTTAATTTACCGTTACTTTTACGGTAAATATATTGCACTGCTTTTTTAAGTTACAATAATTTTGATTATAATTTTGTTTTTTTCTAAAAATGATTGTTTGATTAGACGCACCAAAAAAATATAAGTTTTATTATTTAAATATTAAATATTTTTTTTAAGTATTTTTTATTATTATTATTATAATTAATTCACTTTGATATAAATTATCTAATTTATATAACAGTATATAAATTATTTGTGTATGTATTTTAAAAAATATCAATTAAATTACTGTACAATTTTTATTTTTTTAAAAATAAAATTATTTGTAATATTAATAATAGAAAAATTATTAACTATTTTTGAAAATATCAAATAATTATAGGAATTATTTTAATTTCTATACAAAAAAAAACAATCAAAAATCACAACAAAAAATTGGACAAAATTTTTAGCATTTTTTGTTGGGGTGTATAATATTATACATAACATCCCAATTATATGCCATAGGAATCAAATAATAGTTTAAACAACAATTATATTATTAAAAAATATATTCAAATTATTAATATATGATATAATTACCGATAATTATCGGGTTATTGTTATTAGAGGTCAGATTTGATTTTCGGCTGCACGTGTACTGCACGGGCTTTGACCGACACAAACGTACCGGTGCGGTGGCCGGCAATAAACAATGCGGTCAACGAATTGCCATACACGCAACCGGTGTCCAAACCGGTAGCCAATTGGGCCCGTTGTAGCCCTCGTTTGGCGTCGTGTCCGAAATAGATATGTTCGGGTCCTGACCAGCGGCTAATCCATTTGTCGCCAGTTTTGTCGCTATTGGTAGCCACCAGTTGTTGTTGGTTTTCTTCATTGTCCAGATATAGATTACGCATAACAACCATATCTTTGAGTGTTTGCCGATGAAGATCCAGACCGGGAACAATACCGGCGTGAACTACCAGTGCGTTCAATGAAGGAATGCTTATAGTGTACGGCATCTCAAGTAGATAATCAACTTGTGGTCGACTTAGTTGACTAATCCATTTGTTCTTAGGTTTCAATGCCTGTTCGCCATCCGTTTCATACCTCAAGAACTCATTGATAACTACTTCGTCGTGATTTCCGCGAACCGATTGACAATCCAATGGATTGGACATCAAATATGTCAATACTTCAGCACTTTTCGGTCCTTTGTTCACCAAATCGCCGACAAATAGCTTCAGAATTCGTTTATTATTATTATACTCTTCGGATGAATTGTTCCCGTCTTTCTTGTCGTCCTTAATCTTGTCTAACAGTTCCAGCAATTCGTCATAACATCCGTGAACATCGCCAATGACTACCACTTCGGCAAATGTGTCCATAAATTCTTTGCTTAGTGTCTTGTGTATGACCGGCGGCAACGGTACGTCCAAATGTCGAATAGCCGTACAATTGGTGGCCATTGTATTAGTCGTCGCCGCCGCCGACATAAATATCGAGGACAACGATCGAAACGAGTAGACAATGTATGACAATATAAAGGCCATGATATCACCACTGAATATAAGACGGGATCAGCTATAAGAAGACGGCTCTAACTGATTGCTAACGAAATGTTGGCGACGATGACGACCACTGTATTGGATGAGTTGAAGACATCAAATATTTTTGTCAGACAATCGCTGCCGACGACTAACGACAAGTGTGTTATGTATGTCTTGAAGAGTGACTGTCGATGTCTTCTTCTTCTTCGCCAATAAATAGTATTCAAATGAAAAGTTTTAACTTAAAGACTAAACTAGTTATAACTGTCTGTCTGTTGTTGTGGTAATGTCTATGCAATGCAATCATACAGTGAGAGTGTGTCTGTGTTAGGCCTCTCTCTCTCTCTCTCTCTCTCTCTCTCTCTCTCTCTCTCTCTCTCTCTCTCTCTCTCTCTCTCTCTCTCTCTCTCTCTCTCTCTCTCTCTCTCTCTCTCTCTCTCTCTCTCTCTCTCTCTCTCTCTCTCTCTCTCTCTCTCTCTCTCTCTCTCTCTCTCTCTCTCTCTCTCTCTCTCTCTCTCTCTCTCTCTCTCTCTCTCTCTCTCTCTCTCTCTCTCTCTCTCTCTCTCTCTCTCTCTCTCTCTCTCTCTCTCTCTCTCTCTCTCTCTCTCTCTCAACATATCAGTGCCCATACATTGTCTGGCAATTGGACCGCAGTTTATATCCATAGAAATCTATGGCCAATCGTAACGCTTTGAATGTATAAACTTTTTTTAAGCGCTTAAAACATTTATATATCATTAAAATACTGTACATATGTGTGTTATAAAGTATTTATGCAATCAATTTATTTTTGTGTAGTTTTTTTTGGCACCAGTTTTTTTGTCTGCTAACTGATCCGCACATGTAGTTTGATGTGTGTGTGTGTGTGTCATAAAAGTTTAAAACATACTGTAGTGATTATAAATTTAGATGATATATAGATATAAATTATTTTATATGATATGATTAACTTTGAAATAAATTTAATGTTAATATATACTGTATATACTGTATATACTGTATATACTGTATATACTGTATATACTGTATATACTGTATATACTGTATATACTGTATATACTGTATATACTGTATATACTGTATATACTGTATATACTGTATATACTGTATATACTGTATATACTGTATATACTGTATATACTGTATATACTGTATATACTGTATATACTGTATATACTGTATATACTGTATATACTGTATATACTGTATATACTGTATATACTGTATATACTGTATATACTGTATATACTGTATATACTGTATATACTGTATATACTGTATATACTGTATATACTGTATATACTGTATATACTGTATATACTGTATATATAATAACTAACTTTTATTAATTTAAATTTTACATAAATTGCATTATTGTTTTGTTGTTTGGCTCAATGATTGTATATTTATTAATTTAAAATTACATTAATTAAAACACACACCACATATAATTTATATACTGTATATATAATTTTACATCTAATTTATTTTTTACTTATGGTTAATTTTAGTACATTAAATTTAATCAATTGATAATTTTAATATTGTATTATTTTATTAATAAATATTTTTAAAAATTATATAATTATTAGTTTTTTTTATTGATAAAGTTATTATTTAAAGATTTGTAAAATATTAGCTATAATTGTTATTTAATTATTTATATATATTTTTAATTACCGGTAGATTTATTTACATTTATATTGTGCACTGATTTATGGTTATAAAATTATAATATTGTATTTAATAATGCATAGTAAATAAATAATTTATTATTTTTTTAATTATTAATTTAATTATAATTTTGTTTGAATATGCAATTAATACTGCATTTTGTAATAATAAACTTAATTTTGTTTGTATAACTGTACTTAAAATTATAATATATTAATAGTTATTAAAAACATATTTAATTAAAATTAATAACTAATAATTTTTATTTTATAATAAATTATTTATTTAAAATGCATTATTTAATACTACTTTTATAACATACTGTATATTTTTTCTAAATTAAAAAAATCAATTAATACAATTGATTTATGCATTAAATATACATTTTTATTATAATTATATTTTTATAATTAATGTAAAGTAAATATCAATGATTTTATTAGTGTTTTATATTTAACTTTCAAAAAATAATAAATATTTTATAACATTTAAAAATCTGGTCATTTTAATTATTATTAAAATATTTTTATGAATTTGAATTAATTAAAACATTAAATAAAATTATATATATATATATATAATATTTGAATCATATATACAGTAGAATATAATGTAGAATATTCTGTAATTAGTTTATTTATAATTTATATTTTGTTCTGTACTTATAATACATAACTTTTTTGTCATTTTGTTTTATTTCAAGTACAATAAAAAAACTATTTTTAAATACTTTTGATAACAATCACTTTATAATAGTTTGTAGTGCATATGATTTATTTGTTTTTTTATTTTTAGGTTAATTTCTTTAATTAGTTAGTTTAAAAAGTTTTCTAAACACAATATATAATATTATTATCTTTTAAAACAATGATTGGATTAATGCCAAAACTATCTTAATTTTGTCAGTTATGTTGAGATTAAGGGGAAAATATATATTTAAAAATATAAGTATTTATTACATTTTGAATATTATTTTATATGATATTCATATCGTAATGTTATAAATAAAGTTTTTTACTGAATATTATATAAATAATTATTGAAAAACTGACAAAAATTATTTATTTTTATACTTTTTTTCTAAAAAAATTATTTACATAACTTATACTTGAATAACTAAAATGTTAAACTAAATATGCATAACTGTTATACTACTTAAATTATTTAATTTTTATAAAAAATTAATTAAATGCTTTTCAATTATCGGTTACATAATACAAGTAATTTAAACAATTTTTTTATTCATAATATATTTTTAGTTACAATAATTTTAATCATTTATTATTATTAATATTATTATTATAATATATAATGAATTTTTCACGATATTTGTTAAACAATTGAGGAAACAATTTATTTATTTTATTTTAGATAACTATTAGATAAACTAGAAAATAATGTTTTAATATATTAAATGAAAAAAAATAATAATTGACAAAAAAATTAAATAAATTACAAAAAAATGATAATAATAATCATAATGATATTACAAAAAAATAATAAACTAACATATTGTGTTATAAACTTGTCTAATAAACACACACACAAAAAAAATATTATAACAAATAACAAAAAAATGGTTATAAATAAATGCTAATTAAATTTTTCGTAGATGTATGACATGTATGATATAATACTATAATACTGTATGTCATAGAAGATAATAATAATAATAATAATAATAATAATAATAATAATAATAATAATAATAATAATAATAATAATCATAATAATAATAATAATTTTTTGGCAACAAAAAAAGTTATACAAATTTTGATAATTAAATACAAAAAAAACTATAATAATCGCAATAATAATGGGATTAATGTTGAATTAATTGATAACTCAATGATAATTAATTTATTTTATAACCATTGATACGAATGGATCCGACAGTTATTTTCAATGAATCGATGATAAATCATACGATTTTTCATATCAAGCATTTGCTGTCTCTTTTGTTTGACAATAGACTCGAGTTCGGCATTTTCTTTGGTCAACTCCCGAATCAATTGGTCATAACTATCCAATTGTCTTAACTTTTTCTGACGACATCTTTGGGCAGCAATCCTATTGCTCTCACGTTTTTCTTGTCGCTGTTCTTCAAAGCTTTTCTTTTGGCGATCTTTTGCCAGACAACGACGTCTTTTCGTTGGTGTCTTATCCTTCTCTTCCTCCTCCAGTAGTGGTGGTGGTAAAGACACTTCTGATTGTTTTTGTTGTTGTATCACTTCTTGTTTTATTATTTGCGATGGTATTACCATCAACTCTCGTATCATCGTTGGTAACATCATCTCTGGCAGTGATGGTGGCAGTAGTGATGGTAGTGGTGGTAGTGGTGGTAGTGGTGGTAGTGGTGGTGGCGATGGTATTATCATCTCTTGATTCGTCATCTTTGATGGTATCACTGGTATTACCATTTCTTGTTGTCGTTGTTGTTGTTGATGTTGTTTCATCAACTCTTCTGTCTCTTGTACTATCATCACTGGTTGTTGTTGTTGTTGTTGTCGATACCATTCATGGATACCAGTAAATGCCGACAACGGCGGCGGAGGCGATGGCCGTATGTAGTCATCATCGGTAACCATTTGTGGCTCGTATTTGATCACTGGTTGATAAACACCGACAGTGACAGTGGCACTGGTAGTGGTAGTCGGAGTCGGAGTGGTAGACATCACTGGACGATAACTAAACTGTGAACCTATTAATTAATTAATTAAAAATATAATTTTTAAAAATGTTTTAATTTCTAATTAAAAAAAACACATAAAAATAAATTTCCATTAATTAATCAATTAATCTTACGTTAAGCTTATATAATAATATATACTGTATATTATTAGAGTATATATATATTAATAGATAAATTTATATATAAATTATATATACAGTATATATATATTTACATTACCTTGATAATTGGTTAAATACATTGGGGGTATATATTGATTCATGATTTTCTAATTATAACAAATGACAACAACAACAAAAAAACAGTTATAATTTTTAGATATATAGAAAAAAGTTTTTTAAATAATAAGTTATAATAAACAGTTATAAAATACACACAAATTTAATTTAGTAATAAATATATCAATTAAATGTTAATTTAAGTTTTAAGTTGTCTAACAATAATAAAAAAAAATTAATTCAATTAATTAATGGCTAACTGTTTGTATGGTTTATAAACTAAATAGAACTCAAATTTATTTTCTATATATATATATATATATATATATATATATATATATTATATGCAGTATATATATATATATAGTTGGAAAATATGTGTATGGGTTTTACCCATTAATATTGAAAATATTCAAGATCAATTTATATGTATATATATTGACTCAATTATATAATATATAATAACTAACCATGATTCAATTTATATTCAATAATAGGCTATTAAAAAAAACTATTTTAAACTTATAACACACAAATTGTGTGATTAAATGTTTTTTTTAATTAAAAATTAAAAGTTTATTATTATTACTAAGATTTTATTAGGAATTATTAATACAGTATATATATACTAAACTTTATTAGACTTTTATTATTTAAGTTATTAAATTCAAGTTTATAATTATAAAAACTATATAACAGTATATATATTGTATTTAAAAAATATATTAAAATATATTAAATAAAGTTTTATAACAATTTTTAAAAAAATTAAAATTAACAAAATATATATTTAATAACAAAAAAAAATTTTTTCGGTAATAACAAACATATATAAGTCTAGAATCACATTAAGTCTTATCAATCAATGGTAAACCCGTCGCCGAAACCGGTTGACAGTAGAGGTTCGGGTTTCGTGTCGCACATCGGACACAATTGGTTGCGTACTGTCGACGCGCGCATCCAAATGACCAGATTCTGACGTTGGCCGTCCGTAATGGGCATCGAACCGTGCATTTGTTGGCCCAAATGAAATAGGCCGACACCGGGCGAATGAACTACCGGTGCAGTAATAGATGTATGATCAGTATGTCGTTGTTGATGTTCGGTACGAAAACTACCGAAATAGACTTCACTGCCCGTAAACTGTTTGCCCAGACATACATTCAGCGTAACCTCCGAGTTGTCATAGTGTGTAAACAGATCGCGATCTTCGTTCAGACTGTATTTGATGGTAAATGCCCGGTGACTGTCCAGACCATCACTGGTGCCGTCGCCGCTACCATCGCTGCCAATCCAATCGGGAAAAAATACTTTTGCCAATGGATTCAAATAGTCTACTCTCAGTGGTGTCAGAAAGTGTTCGTCAAAACCCAGTTCGTTAAGAAGTATACCTATTTATGGTGAGGGAAGAGGTTTACGACAACAAATCGATGGTTAAAAAGAGTTAGTTATGATAACAAACAAACCGTAATTATTCATTGTATTCGGTCTGGTCTTCGGCATTGGCGACCCGTTAAAGTGATCGCATTCATCGATAAACTTATCGCAAAACTCGGTGGTAAACACATCAAACTGATAGACTCTTCGCTCACGACTGACTGTCCTGATGTGTGGCAATATCTCCGATAACTGATCGCCACGTTTGCATTGGTCGACCAAATCGACAAACGATTTGCACAGATAGTCAACAGACAGTCGATAGATATCCGGATGTTTTGGCCGATAGTTGTCGCGTATGAATTGGATTCGTTGGACAGTCTGTTGGTCCAAATTCAGACGTCTGTCAAACTCTGTCCTCAACAGTCGGCTAACTGCTTGCCGTTGTTGATCCGTAGTACAGCCCAATGCCGCCAATTGGTCACCAAATCGGGTCCAGAAGTCTCGATCGTCTCGGTTATCGTTATTACCATAATATTTGACATGAATTTTATAATCGGCCAGAAAATAGTTGTTTGTTAGGAAACATCGGCACCGATAGTATTGTCGTCGCTGTCGATGGAAGTAGTAGTAGAAGAAGAATAAGAAAAAAGAAGAAGTATATCATTAAAAAAAGGACAGATAAATGAAGTGAAAAAAAACTTTATTTTCATATATATGACAACAAACTGTCGGCAAACTTACCATTGGTTTACAAAGAAAATTCAATTTTGAAATATTCACTGAAAAATTGGGATCAATTTGTGGTCACACAGACACAGAAAAAAAGTTTTTTTTTTAAATCAATTTGTGGATCAATTTCACTGATATCTTGATGAAGACATCAAAAAATATTATGATTTATCGTAAATATAACTAAAAAATCATATGATATTTACTATAGAGTTATACATATAGTTATAGCGCATACTCTCTAAACAATGTTTACATTTGATTGCCATTAATGGTATTGAAGTGACAGTCAAACAGTCAGTCAAACGTGTTGTGCCTTTGAATTCAGTGATAGTTTTTTTTATTAAATAGTTATTAATAATAATTTAAATTCAAAAAAAAAAAAATAAAATAAAAAAGTTTTTTAAACTAATATTTATTAAAAAAACAAATAAACAAATCATTAAATTTATAATTTTCTTGTTTGTTGTTTAACTTATATGTCTAACAACTGATCCCAAACCATCATCACCGACACCGACGCCGACAATAACTGAATGGCCAACAAAAACAAACGCCGCGGCGGCGGCCTATCGTCGGCGCCGATCTCGCCCTCGTCGGCGTCGTCATCGCCGGCCAATGACGTCAAACATCCCGACCGACAACAACAGCAACGCCGACGGGAGTTGACCTATAAGTCGGCAAAGAGACGACTGGCTATTATCGATGATTTGCTCAAAAGTAATGCAAACAAAAACAAAAGATTTTTTTTTTGATTTTATTGATAATTAATTGGATTTTTATAATCTTTTTTCCTAAACAAACAAAAAGAGTGCACTTATTATAACAACAATACGGCTAATAATGGTCAGCAACTTCTTGATGAACATAAAGACATTAATCAATTGTTAGACGAGATAATGGTCATCGAGAAAGGTATTAAAAAAGTTATTTTTAAATACAATATAATACAAGAAGTTTTATATTTATTAAAAATTATTTTTTTTTAAAATGAAAAACATTTATACAGACATAGCAATCGATTTACCGAAACGATTGCCAGAAGATTGGACGGCTTTCGAGAAGTGGCTGAAAAATGTCGGCGATATAGACATGTCCAGAGTGGACATCCGATGGATTGATGATAAACATGGTTACGGTTTGTTTGCTAAGACATCGATTGGCGAATCGGAACCGTTTCTGGAGATACCCAGAAAGCTGATGATGTCGCGCGAAACGGCTCTGACGTCTGACGATGATTTAGGTAACACAGATCAGTTGATTTTAAGACCCGCCGGTGATAATAGTAGTAGTAGTAGTAGTAATGATATCAATTTGGTGTCCTCCCCATCAACAGCTACGTTCATCCGCGAAGACCTGATTTTGCAAAACATGCCTAACATAGCAGTGGCACTACACGTGATCAACGAATACTGCAAACCGGACTCATTTTGGAGGCCATATCTACAGTGTTTGCCGCCGGTATACGAGACGGCCATCTATTTGACCGATGATGACATGAATCAACTGAAAGGTACACAAATACTGGACGAAGTGATTAAATTGAAGCGAAGTATTGCCCGACAGTATGCCTACTTTGCGGATAAATTATTGAATAACGAAACGGCAACCAAACTGACAATCAAGAAGTGCTTTACGTATGAACTCTATCGGTGAGTAATAGTGGATGTGATAGATATTATATGATATTATGGTATATATAAGATAAGATTATTGCCGACGATTATGAGTAGTGACCGCTGGTGGTGGTGGCGGTGGTGTCGTTAGACGACACGTCGGAAACCATCGCGAGTTGATATCATGTGATACTCTGTATTGTGTGGGACCGTTGCCGCCACCACTGCCGGCACCTCCGTTGCAACCATTACTTGTTGTCCACGTTGTACTCGAATGAGATGAACCCGATGAACGGCGATGTCGCCAAACGAGTACAGCAAAAATGATAATCAATACGACAATCAAAGCGATTCCGCCGGCAATACCGGCCAATAGATATTTAGATCGAAAGTCTGAAACCAGGTTTTTCTGAAGCGTCGATGTCTTTGCAATATCGTTGGCAACAACTTCGATGTCGTTGTCTTTCGATAGTCGATCACTTGATTTATGATAACCACGATTTGGTTGTAGCTGTTGTTGTTGTTGATGATGATAATCACCACTATTAGTGGTAGTGATCTCATGGTTTGACGCAACAGCATAGGGTATAGAACTTCTTAGGTTGTTATCGGCGATAACGTTGAAGCGTTTGTTGACCACAATCGTCGGCGGGAATGAATATAGCGGGGCTGTTGGCGGCGGCGGTATCATATGGACAGTCTGTGCGGTTATCGGTTCGACAATTGGCTGTAAATTCATGACCGGCTGATAGGGAAACATAATCGATGGCCTGTGTTGTTGTTGTAGATGTTGATGATGTACCTCAAGATTATTGTGCGGTATTATTGGCATCATTTGGGATATTAGATGATTTGATGGTTTTGGATCAAATTCTTGATGTTGTTTAACGCCAGGAATATCTTGTTGTTGGTGTGGATGTTGTTGTTGTTGTCTTAATGTATGAAAATCTGTGTTAATATCTTTTCTGGTAACTAATTGTTGCTGTTTTGGTGGTCTTAAGTTTACCCCATTTGATGGCAAAGAAGAAGGTTTTCTCATTGGCTGAAGAAGAATATCTCTGTCATTGTTGTTGTTGTTGCTGTTCTGCTGTTGTTGAATAATCGGCCGATACTTTTGATGGATTGCCAAAAATGGCCACAAATGTTGATTATTACCATCGTTTCGGTCATAAATTTGTTGATAATTTTGTTGTAAATTTGCTACAAAATTATCGTACAATCGATTGTCTATATAGTGTGGTTGCGGTTGTTGTTGCTGCTGATGATGATGTCTATTGTCATCATACAGGAAGTGATGATAATTATGATTTTGTGCTGGATATCCATGAATAGGCCATTGGTGTTGATGATGGTTGTTGTAGTTGATTATCGGATCCACTAATTGACTCGATATTTGGCCAATCGATGACACAATAAACAGTAGAAAAATTTCGATAAAATAGATATATTTTTGAAATTTTATAGACATATCCACAGAAACTTTTTTTTTTGTTATCCGATAAAAAACATTTATCCGAATCCAAAAAATAGCTTATATTTAATATATATATTATTGAAAAAATATATTTTGTTTTAATACTATTGTTATACAAAAAAATATTATAGTATTATAGAAAGTTTGACACTAAAAAAATATTTATTTTTTTATTAGTTCATTGAATGCGGGCTTAGATTTAAATAAATCGAGTTTTACTCGAGTATTACAGTTATATATATATACAGTATATCTATATATTAATATATTAGTCAAACAAACAAAATATATTATAATAAATAATTGGCAAAAACTAAATGTATGTTATTATGTAATCATAAATAATATTTATTTATATATATATATTATTTTTTGTTTATTTGGGTATCCAATAGTTGGGCCGTTTCGACAGTAATGACACGACAAAATGCCATACCATCCGGTGATGGCCAGTCCATGACTACAGCACTTATACCGCTCTGGGATATGTGTAATCATAAACACGGAAAGGTATATATATAATTAATTTAAATTTATTATTATTAGATTTTTTTTTGTTGGTCTAATTATACCAACCCAACAAAAAAAATGCATAACAATTAACTAAAAAAAAATTAAATGTTTTTTTTTTAATTTATTTATTTTGACACAAAAAAAATCGGCTAAAGCTTTCAACAGATTATGATTTAGACGCCGACTCCGTTATCTGTCGTGCAATGATGGACTTCCAGAGTGGAGAACAGGTTATTATTATGATATCTACTATATATATATATGACATAACTGTCCTCACAAAATGACTACAAGATATTTATATGATACTAATGGTTATTATCTGTAATTAATTCCGCAGATATTCATATACTATGGTCCGCGATCTAATGGCGAGTTTTTCATACACAATGGTTTCGTGTATATAAGCGATGATAATAATTGTGACAACGATTTTCTACCATTTAAACTGGGAGTTAGCCGTAACGATGGCCAATATCAACGAAAATGTGATTTATATAAGCGATTAAATTTAAATATATCCGGTATCTATCATCTATATAGTAGACATCAACCGATGGATAAAAGATTATTAGCATTTTTGCGTGTATTTCATCTGAATCAAGGTATTCATGAAATTTTTATTTACCTGTAGTTGTTATATATATATATATATATAATTATTATATAATTTAATCCAAAAAAAAATAATTAATTAAATAAAACCATAAATTCAGATGAATTAGACCATTGGTTGGCCAGCGATAATCTAACGGAACTATTCAATAGTGATTGCAATGATTTAATGTATTTAAATGAAAAAATCTGGCAATTTTTGGCCATTAGGTGTACACTGTTGTTGAAGGCCTACCCAAACCCGGAATCGGTAGCAAAATATAATACTACTACTAATAATAATAATAGAAATGTCGAACAATTAATTAAAAGTGAAATGAATTTACTTAAAAGCTATGTTTAGTTAAGTTATATATATATATATATATTTATAAGTCATAATAATAATAATATAAATCAAAAATCACTTTTTTCAATACAGGTATTCATTATTAGAAAATAATTGCATTATTTATAATTCAAACGCTTTAATATACATAACAATAATAATCACACAATGAATTGCAATACTTAAACCACACAATAATTAAGTGAAAATTAATAATTGCATTATTTATAAATAATAAATATTTATTATATTCATATTATACCGGTATATATATATATTATATATATTTATAATTAATTTATATATTGTAACTATTTTCTAACAGAATTTATATTACTTTATTTATAGAAACAGTTATTATTATTATTAATATTTTAATATATATTTTATCTCAAAAAAAGTAAAACTTATTAAAAGTTTTTATACATTATTATATAATATAATATACAGTAAAATTGTATAATTGTTTTTTATTGAATAATAATGACAGCAACAAGAAAAAAAACAATGATAGATATTATATAATATATTGTTAAAAAAAATTATGCCATTAATAATAATAAATATTTTACATTAATAGTTGTTTCATAGTTTAAAAACAAATATTTTAAAATCAGTTATCAATAATTTTACATAATTTATAATATATATTATAGTATTGTTTTCATTGTTAAAATTTTATATAATATAATAATATTGTGAAATCTCTCTCTCTCTCTCTCTCTATTTAAAAAACTTAATAGTAATTAATTAATTGAAAACAAATAGCAATTAGTGATTATTGTCTTTTAATTATTATTATTTAATCATCTCATTATTCGCATAATTTTTTTTATAATGCTTGTTTAAAAAGTTTTTTTTGCTTATTTAATTAACTAATTTTAAAAACTATATTTGATTGCCAATCAATACCCCTCGGTATCTCTTAATAATGTCTATTGAAAACAATTACATAATTTGCATAACAAAACAACAAAAGCAATGTCACAAAACAAATAATAACTTTTGAATTTTATTGATTGAAACAAAAACAAACAAAAAAAGCTTTTTTTATAAATAAAGATTATATTCCTATAAATATATATAAGTATATAATGTGGGAAAAAACAAATTGTATAATAAATTAAAAAATAATAACAAATAACAAAATTACGGTACGATTATTATTATTGTTATTAACATATTATTATTATTAATAATTAATTAATTGTTTATTTAATCTAATAATACCCTAAACTTTGAGATGATTTGGTGAGAAAGTATACTTGAGTTGATAGGCGTCGGCCACCAATAGCCTGACCTCGTTGTCTGTCCAGTGAAATGTCGGTAAATTTTGCAACAATAACATCAATCCTTGGAAATCTTTTTCCTGAAGTAGTGATTTGGACCAAAACCGGAGGAATGCCGCGCAAACAAACAGATGAAAAGCACTGGAAAACGGTGTTCCGCTGCCCATCGACCAGGAAGTCATATCGTTGGCACTACTATTGTCCATAACTGATATACCACTGCCACTACCCGTACTATCTTTATCGTTCATGGATGTTATATTGTAATTGGTTGAATTATTATGGCCTGTATGGCTGGTAGTATTGGTAGTAACGACAGCGCCTTCAGCTAAATAGGTGTCCCAAAGGCGTACAATACATAGTAGGGGTAGTTCACGGATCAGTAGGTTATTCATCCAGCGAAAGGCAAACTGTAGATATTGTACGGAATGTCGTTCCAGATGTTCGTGTAGTGTACGGTCAACGCGGGAAACAATACACGACAATAGATGAACCAAATGTTGAATGCCTGGCTGTGCAAATGTATAGTTATCTTGTATTGAATCCAATAGTTTGGTAAACGACCAGAAAGCGTCGGCTTCGACACCGCTTAGGACATCCTCCGACAGTGTCGACACATCAAACGATTCGACTTTGGTTAGGTCGTTGTTGGCGATAAACTCGGATAAATAGGTAACAAAAAACGGTGTAACCAAATCGTTCATTCCCTGTACGTAACCGCTGGCCGGATGTCTTATGGACCAAATAAACAGTATTCGTTCGAAGATTCCTTGGACTAAGCTCTGCTGGAATATGGATATCAATGGTTGCATCCGAGGTATATCTATATGTATTTGACGCCATATTTCATCGTTTTCCTGCCGATTATGATAGTATTGTTTAACCAGATTCTGATATTCGGCACGTTTTCTGTCCAATACTTGTGTACGCTTTGATCGGACAATCGGTAGATAGCCTAACAGGAGTTTCCAGGTAACGGGTCGTACTTGATTGGGAATGCCGGCCCAGGCCAGCGATCTCAGCTGATTCAAATCGGTAATATCGTCGTCGAAGACAATCTTTCGGAGTTTAGCCAATTTGGGATCAGCTGTTGTTGTTGTTGTTTCCATTGGTTTCTTGTTGTTGTCATCATTTCTGGCACTTTTGGTTGTCGTAACCGGTTTTGAAGGCTATTATTATTATAATAAAATAATTATTATATTATTGATGACATGAAATATAATGGATAAATAAAAAATTATTATTATTATTATTAAAAAATATTACGGTATTTAGGTAATAGAAATTCAATATTACTACTGTATATATATATATATATATATATATATATATATAAATAATATAATATATTTATATAAATAATTAAATAGTTTTAGTTTTCTTTTGAATATTTAATAATAAATTTACATTCAATAAAATAACATACGTTATAGTAATACATACTACTCTATACAATAATATTATTATTAATAATTTATTATTTTTAACGATAAATTATAAATATATTTTTTAAATATATATATATACAGTAAATGTAGAGTTAGTTATAAATGTAAAAATCTGATGATATATACTGTATTTTACGACTATATATTGTGTAATAAATGTAATATTCAATTATAAATTATATATTACGATAAATGTGTGTCAAAATGAGTTAAACAAAAATTTTTATAAATCGCATTATAATTTTAATAATAATAATATAATTAAAAAGTTTGCTAATTATCACAAAAAACAACATATAAAGTATATACACGTATATATATTAAAAATAATAGACATAATTATATATATATATATATATATTTAAATACAATAAAATAAAACTAAAACAGATTTTGTTTTATTTAAACAAAAAAACAATATCTGAAAAATGGGTCAAAAATAGGAGGAATATTCTGTATATATATCTAATGGCAATGAATGGCCAGAAAAATAAAAATATAAAAACAAACCATTTCTCTGATGAGTAGCGAAGAGATGTTGTTTGATAGCAGCGAATCAGTTGCGGCACTGATGGCCGCCGCAGACGCTGCTGCCGCCGCCGCTACTGATGATGATTGGTTTGCATTGTTATTGTGGATCAGCTGATGATGATTGCGATTATTAATGGCATTACTGGTAGCCGTCGACTGAACACAATCTTCAATATTTGAATCCCAGGCATCTTCACAACTGGCCGTAAATACTTCAAAACTGGCAGAATTGTTGCGCTTATGATGACCACTACTGCCGCCGCCGCCGCCGACTCCGCCAACACTGACCGCCGATAACCCAACCGACGCTACTCTATGAACAGCACTACCGGCGGCGCCGGCGCCGCCAGTATTGGTCGGCTTAGTCGTCGATGATGTCATCGACGTTAGACTACTAGTCCTTTGTTTGCCATAATTTCTTGGGTTGTGTTGTTGTTGTTGCGGTCGATCACTGGCGGCGGCGGAGTTAAAAACACTGCTAAAAATGACACGTCCGGGCAATCGGGTTGTTGTCTGACCACTGCTGCCGCTACCCGACGACGACGACGACTGTTGTTGATTGGCACCAATTGTTTGTTGTTTATTGTGACGATTGCTATCACTGTTTGTTGTTGCGGTTGTTGTCGTTGATGACGAAGAAGTAGTAGAAGACGACGACGACATCTGTCTCCAGAATGTCGTGTTTGTGGCACTCATTCTTCTTCTTCTTCTTTTGCTTCTTCAGTCTTCAGTCTTTCAGATTTGTCACTTCGTTTTCAAATGAAAAACAAATAAATACTTTTCCTTTAATTTATGTCTTCTTCTTATTCTTCTTATGATTTGATCCAACAATTTGAAAGACAAATAAAAAACTTGTGATTTATGTATAAAATTATTATTAAAAATCAAACATTTTTTTTGATAACAATTTTTTTGAAGTGATTTAATTGTCTGTAAAAAAAACTTTTTTTGTTTAATAAATTCAATTCAATGTTTAATAAGTTTTTTTTATAAAAAAATGAGATTTTTATTGATTTTTTGAAATTTAATTATTATTTATTTTTTGATCACTTTATTCACACAAACAGTTCAAGTAATGTGTTATACATTTAAAACAAAAAAAAAATTATTTGATATTTAAAATTATAATAAATAAAATCAGTTTTGTTTTAAATCATTAGTTGTTTGAATATATATCATAACTATTATTAGTATTATTAATAAAACGGTATATAAACTAAAAATCAAACAAAAAAAATTATCGACAAATTGATGCCTTAAAAAAATGGCAGAAAATTGTTGTCAAATAATATATATATTTATTATTATTATTAACAACTGTTTTATGTGTGTCTGTGTTATTGATAGCCAACACAACACATACTGTAAAGTATATGTAATGATAGCGCGCATGACTTAACACATAGCATAGCCATTGAAAAACCAATGCATTTATTATTATTATTATTAAATACATTACACATTAAATTACAGTACTTTACACAACACATGTTATTTGCATTGCAATTGATATTTTCAAAACCAAAAAAAAAAAAAAATAATTTGTAAATGATTTTCAAAACTATCAATTAATTATTTTAAAAAAAAACAATCAATTTTTGTTTGAATCAAATGATATTTTCATCAAAAAAAAAAACAAATTATTTTCATTGATTGATGACTTGAATAATTATTTTTTATATTAAACAAAAATACCGGTAATTGTTTGGAAAATATTAAATTTAAGTATTTTTTGTTGTTGAATTAATTGCTAATTAAATAAATTTAGTAATTTTTTTTATAATGTATAAAATGATTTTAAATTAATTAAATTATTTTTTTTATAGAAAATAACTATTAGTTTTTAAGAGAGAGAGAGAGAGAGAGAGAGAGAGAGAGAGAGATGTCTACCTCCGGCGCCGGTAGTCATCACTCGTATGATAGACCAGTTCGTAGCGATAATGAAGAAGTGGATCCATTGGAGGCAATGTTAGACAAGACTGGTTGCAAACAACATCACTATTCACTACAGGTTTGTATTCAAAAAAATTAATTAAATATTTTTAATTAACTATTTTTCAAACTATACGATACTTACGGTAATTAAAAAAAATAAAATAAAATAAAACTTTTTTAATCCATTTTGATTAGGACTGTATGTATGAGCACCGGGATTGGCGTAAATGCCAGGATTTAGTTCAACAATTGAAAGATTGTATGAATAGATATGAACAAAGCAAACAACAACAAAATAAATAATTAATTAATTTAAATAAATTAAAATAAATTAATTAATTAAAAGTTTTAACAATTTATTTAAATTATTTAATCGATTATACAATTATGAATTATTATACAGTTATTTAAAATGAATGACACAATTAACTAAAATGGCACCAAATATTTCGCACTTAATTTTTTGTTTTGTTTTATACAATTAAATTATTTTATTTATTAAATTAATTTGTGTGATACGATTTGGCAAAAATATATATATATATATAGTAATTATTAATATAATTAAAAATATAATATTATTTATATTTAGTTGATTTTAACTTGAAAATGGAAAGACCACTTTTATATAGTTATTATTTAATTTAATTATTAATTAATTAATTAATATTATTATTATTAAAACTATAAATTAATGATATCATCTCTCACTCACTCTCTCTATATATAAATATTTATATTCAACTTTTTTAGTTTATAAATACTAATAAATCAATTGATTTAAAAACTATTTTAGGCCTACAAAACAAACAAACAAACAAAACAATTCAATTCATCTATGCTTTTATATCACAACTAATATGATTATCATATGTAGTGTAACCATTGGATGTCGTCCCCCGGTGGCCATTGGACTGGTGGTGATGATGATGATGATTGTCCCGATAGTTAGCATTAGTAAAGTTAAACGACTCCGAGTTTGTTAGTGTACTGTCGTCGTAGTATTCGAGCTCTTCGGTATAGTCAATGTCCGACTGATGGGTTAGGAAGTGATGATTTTGACGGGTCGGCCACATCAGGTGCGCTACTATGGCGTAGGCCAGGAAATCGGCTGCCGACGAAAATCCTACCAAAAAAATAAATAAAACAAATATAATTATTATAAAACCAATTACCAGTCGGCACCACCACTACTACTATCTGACTACCCGATAATCGGTAATTATAATTTTTACCCGAAATCAGTTTGTATCGCCACATTAGCTCAATTTGGAGGGCAACCATAGCCACCAGTGGCAAATGGACAAACCATACGAGTATACCGGCACCGAAATGCAAGTAAAACTTTAGTCGGCGCTGATCCTGTTCCAACATCATCGACAAGCGAAGTTCATAGAGGAACCACATCATTAGTATGACACGAAACCCTAGGCTTATCCAACCGGGAAACGTATGGTATTCATCGATCTCTTCAATTGTGTTCAACGATTTCTGTTCAAAAAAAAATGTTACGTTTAAAACAATGTTATTTTGTTATTTTATGAAAACAACAACAAACCCTAATCCAAATAAATAATATGATTTCAATGATTATATAGAGAAGCCACGCAACGAATATCAATGGTTTGGCTGTAATCTCCGGTTTGGTAACCGGCCAGCCCTTGGCTATAATCATAACAAACAGTATGAACAATGCCAGCGATAGTATGCGTATAATGTCGGCAACAGTATTCAATATCTCGAATCCCTGGCCATCGTGTGCGAAGACAATCTTGTGCAAGACTAGGAAGAAGTCGGATAGACAGTGCATCGACAGTGATATTGTAAACAAATAGGACAATAGGTTACGGATCTTCTGGGAGGTAAAGGCATAGAGTTGTGCAGCTGTCAGTACTATGTAAAAGATTACCAATAGTAGGTTAAGTAATAGATCCTGGATAATGATGATGGTGGTAGTGATGTTCAAAACATATGGAAAGAGAGAGAGAGAGAGTAAAAAATATTAACAATCAAATTACACAACCAATTCATATATATGTTATGTGATATATTGCATCAATTAATTGTGTTAATCAGATATATTATTGTGTGTGTGTATGTGTGCGTGCGTGGGTGTGTGAATCTATATACTAATTATTATTACTGTACTATTGTTTTAACAAAAAACAATAGTTTTTTTCACACACACCTGTTGTTCAAATGAAAACTGGTGGTCAAAGTCGAGAAGTTTGTTGGATGCACTGCTCGGATGGCCGTTCACTAGCCATACATCATATTTGAGTACAGAATCGTCAGCCGTACCATCTTTCCAATGGCAGGTTATGTTTTGTTGTGTGCCGTTTGTGGTGTTGGTGGTGGTAGGGGTGGGGGTGGGCCTAACCTCCTCACGATAACAGCCCATTAGTAATAGAAACCAAAATCTAGAAAATAAAATTAAAATTTTTATTTTTATATTGTGTGCATTAAAAAAATGTGATTATTTTAAATAAGTAATTTGATATTTTTTTTAAAAAAAAGTTTTAAATTATAATAAACTAAAAATAAATTAAAAATAAATTTTAATATATATATATATATATATTTGATGCAACTTATTTGAAAATGCAATAATTATTATGTTGTAATACAAATCTTGTTGTATCTATTTATATCAAAATTTTAATTTAAATGACTTATAAATAAACTTTTTTATTATAATTAAAAAAAAAAGTTTATAAAAATAGCAATATTAACGTAGGTTTTATATATTTATTTCATGAAATACTTGTTTAAAAACAAATACTATTATTATTATTATTATTATACAGTACTGTTAAAAGTTAAAAGGATAATATTAGTATCGTAATAATAATAATAATAATAATTAAATTGAAATTTCTAATATAGCTTACTATAAAATAAAAAATATATTTTTTTAATTTCATTTATTTAATTAAATTTTTCTTTACCCCCATTAAATTTGGGTGCAATAAATTTAAATAACGAGTCTTATATAAACTATATATATATATATTGGGTAACTAATTGATGATAATAAAAAAAAATTATATACTGTATAATATAGTATAAAACTAATAATACTTTTATATAGTCGCTATAGCTTATAAAAAAAATATACGTAAATACAGTATTATAATATTAAATCATTAATTAACAAAATAAAAGGCTAAATGCAAACACACGAGGAAACTAAAGTCAATAAAAAAAATAATGTTTAGTTGACTAAAAAGTAAAAAGGTTTACTGTATATCATTACAGTGTATATGATATACAGTATAAAAAATAACAAAAAAAAATATTATACAAATATTAGACAATATATATATAAATTGTGCGTTCATTTGAATTAATATATTGGGATTTTTTATGATGATATTATACACACAATAGATGTTTTATGATATTATTTGCAACAACAACAACAACAAAAACATATACTGTATATATATATAAAAAAAATTCAATAAACTTAATGATTGAAAATTGAGTCTACATTTTGAATAATTATTATACAATAAAATACTACTATAATGTATATATAAAAAAAAGTTTGTTATATAAAAAATTGTATAAAATAACTGATGATATTTAGGATTTTATTAATTTAGCAATGAATAAGCATATATGATATATTGTTGTTATAAAATGCAAATATTACAACAACAACAACAACAAAATCATTGACTTAACCATTTAGTTACCGTAATTGTATTAATATATTTATATCTATAACTAATAATAAGTTCATTGACTGATATGCTGGTTTAAAATAATAATAATAATAATAAATAAGTATTTAGATATAGACAGGTATACAGCGTGTATATAACTTATATATAACAAATATATCTAAAAATAAAACACATTTATAATTTTTTTTAAAAATTAAAACTATTACTGTATTTACAGTATTAATTATTACCAGAGGCTATACCGTATAATTGAAAGGGAAATACAGTATATATTTTTATATTATAGTATAGAAATTATAATATTTAAAAATAAATTAAATATAAATTAATTATTAGGTATTTATTTGAATAACAATCTCTCTCTCTCTCTCTCTTAACATAGGAGAGGATACATACGGACTACAAGGATAACGGATATAAGCTATTGTTGTTGTGGTTGTTGTTGTGGTAAATGATGGACACATCGCATGAGTCATACATTTTTAATGATAATTTCAAAAGACTATATATATATAAATATAATGTGAAACAAAAAAACCCTTTTTTTAAAAAAAACAACTAAAGACTTTCATTGTGGGTATGTCTTGAAGACAACAACTACAGGTAGTAATAACTATACTAATAAATAGATGTAATAATTAAAATTCAAAGACACAATCAATCAATCAGTACATACGTCGGTTCCGTTTGATCTTCGATGACATAAGTAAACTGATAGTTCTGAACGATTTGCGAGCTCTTGATGGCGCCCTCGCATAGGCCGCCATCAGCGCAGGGAACAAATCGCATGATATCCCACTTATTATCGGTAGCGCAGGTCTGGTCGTAGGCTTTGTCGCCGATGATGTCGTCGAAAACTTTTCGGCAAAATGTCATACTATGGTTGTTGGCGGCGGCGGTGTCACTGTCAGAGGCTGATCCAGTCATCATCTTATATGTATTGTATGCGCTGTATATCTTGAGAAACAGTTGCCTATTGACCAACAATAGGGCACTGGTCTTAGTCTTGATCTTTTCATTTGGATCCATATGTTTGCTAACATTGCCAAACACGTAGCCATAGCTGTCCTCTTTGTGATGCGGATCCGATTTGCCGACACCGAATCGGGCCATAACCTGATTGGATCAGATAACTATAGTTATCAATCACTTTAGTAATCAAACAACACACTTACTTTCATTGGATCAGCTGATGGACTCCAGACGCCAGTAGTGTGCAAACAGTCGATGGCGGCTATTATTGTCAATAACACCAACAATGATATCATCGACAGCAACAGTGGTGGTGATGATGATGATGATGATGAAGAAGCCATTGTTGTTGGTGTTTGTGGTTATAAGTTATATATAACACTGTAATTGAAGACAATTGTCGATGTCTTCACCACACAAATCAAATCAATTATTATATAACCAATAAAATCCAATTTAAATGCCTATTAAATGGCAACGCATTGGAAACATATATTAAAAAAACATATGATTTTCATATAACCAAACAGTTATTATTATTATTATTATTATTATTATTAATACAGTATTATATAATATGATAATTAAGTATTACGTTAACTGTATATAACTATATACATAAAAATTGTATAATAAAAAAATAGCATTGAATTTAATGGCAATATTAATATAATCAATGCATTGATTTTTTATACGTCTATATAAATATCAATCATTTTTTGCATACAAACACTTTATATAACTGTGTTTTTTGTGAATATTATTAGTAAATATATTTAAATATGCATTTAAATTATATGATATTTTTTTTAAATAGTAAAAATCATCAAAAAAAACAATTTGTTTTTGTTATACACACATAATATTTTTAATATTATTATTATTATTATATCAAATTAACAATAACGAAAAAAATATGATAAAATCAAATCATATACTGTATGATTAAATAAACTAAATTAAACAAAAAAATATGTGTTACTTATAATCACATAATAATAATAATAATTTTTATTTCAATGAAATAAATTGTTTACTAACTAATCATATGTGTGTGTAATATAGCATATGATATATATTTTTTCACATGAATTATCATATAATAAAAAAAATGTTAATTATTATTATGAATAATACAGTAGTAGTACTACTACTACTAGTAATAGTATTGTAATAATAAAAAATATATAATGAAACAAATGTATAATTATTTAGACACAAAAAATATTTTTTTAAAAAAACACCAAATGGTTTGACGGCGACATTGAAACTAAACAGTTATTACAATATTATTGTTGTTTTTTATGTTTGTTTGTTTGTTGGTTAGGGTTGAGTCAAACATGTATTACAGTGTGTGTGTGTAGAGAGAAAAACGGTATGTTTTTCACATACATAAGCTCTCTCTCTCTCTCAAACAACGTAAGTAAAAGTATGCGTTTATAATGCAATAAAATGCATCAAACATTTCATTAAACATTTTGATTTGACTATAGTTTTTGTATTGCATTTACTGTTGTTGTTGTAGTAGTAGTAGTAGTACTTGTATTATAAAAACTTGTGATTATAGATAGCGTTACAAATGTTGTTATCGTAGTAGTAGTAGTAGTAGTAAATGCTCTCAATTTTTTTTTGGTTACAATTTATCAATTTATTAAATATTTGATTTGTAATTTATAATTATAACAATAAAACAATTTTTTATTTATTTTTAAATATTAATAATAATAATAGATTTTTTTCTATAATAAAATATAGATAATCAATAATAGTATTCATAATGATTACAATACGTTTTTTTTGTTGTTGTTTTAGTTTTATACTAAATTAATATAACATTTAGTTATTATTTTTTATTAGTATTATATATTTATTATTCTATACATAAGTATTAACAAAATTTATTTCTGTGTTTAAAAATCAATAGAAAATCTATATATATTTTATTTATAGTATAGTTTTGGTAAATATATATATATATATATATGATATATACTCACTTTAATCACTTTAAGTCATGTATAAAACATATTATTATAATTTTTTTTAGCTAAAAACTTATTATTATTATCGCTAATATAAATATACATAAAAACTTAGAAAGAAAAAACTGCTGATATATACAGTATAGATATATATATATATATATATATCAGTATATAATAAATATATATATTATAGTTTCTAATACTTAATTCAAGATAACAAATAGATATTTTCAGCAAAAAAAAAATAAAGGATTTATTTAACAAAATAATTTGTGGAAAGTTTTTTTTGTGTGTTTGGAGGAAATGGGTGTATAATATACTGTATTATATATTAAAAATATTATAAATTATAAATACATGTAATTTATAGTATGTATGTATAAACACAGTGACAATCATATTGTTTGGGGTGTTATTTGATAAGATATATCACAGGTGATGATGATTAATGATTGATATGTATAATATATATATTATATATTATATTCAATTTTATATCAAACAAATTTTGTTTTCGTTGCTTAAACACATTGATAACAATGAAAACATGATTTATTAGTAATTTAATAAAAAAATTCTCTCTCTCTCTCTCTCGTCATATAATTTTAAGTTTCAAAAAAAATATATTTATTACACATTTTTCTTAAACAAATTTATTTTAATTTAGTACAAAATATAATTTATTACAAATTTCACTTTTTCATATAGATAGCTATAAATAATTTTATAACAGTAATACTATAATATTTAAATAAATTAAATAAATTTTGTTTTATGTTAATATGTGACAAATATTTTTAAAATTTAAAAAAAAACAAAATTAATGTAAGTTATTTTATTTTTAAAAAAAGTTATGACTATAATTTAAATGATATTTAAATTTTTTCAACTAAAATTATAAGTAATTTATTCACACACACAAAAATATATATATATATTTTCAATGCAAATACTTTAATAGCGATTGATTGCCAAATATTTATTTTCGCATATTTTTTCCTCAATTGCAAAATATCTTTAACTAATAATACTAATAATATAAACTACTAATAGTTATTTAAATAGTTATTTTATCTCTCTTAGACAAAAATATATATATATGTATTTATCTACGCAAATAACATGTATCTATTTTTATGATTTTTTTAATAAAAAAAATAACATTTAATTTATTTTGCTTTACAAAAAAAAATTAGTTTCTAATTCCTATTTTAATTTAATAAAAAATAATATAATTTATATCTGTATACAACATTTACATAGTAGTACATCAATTTATTTTTTTTTAAAAATACTAATTATTAAAAACAATTAAATAATAATTTTGTTTTTTTTAGAAAAATTACCCTAAATTTATTTGTAACAATTATATGTCTTTGAAATTATTATCTATATTATAAATCACAATATTATCATATATTTTTGTTTTTAATGGTGTATAAAAAAAATTACATTTATATTTATTAATATATCAAATAATTTGATAACAATTTCCCAATAAAAACAGATACCTGTACTAAAAAAAGACACTCAAACACATACACATCAATTGATTGATTGATTGATTGTTTTATATATATATATATAAAATATAAAATTTGTATTATCAACTATATTATTATAAAAAAGACTATATGTCATATATTTAATAGTAATAATAATATTAATATTATTAATATCAATAGGAAATGTTGATAAAATATTTGGTACATTTGTGTGTGTGTGTGTGTGTGGAAAAAATATAGTAATAAATCTGATAACTATTTTTTGTTGTCAGCTATTAATATGAAAAATATTATTATTATATATATATATATTTTTTGTTACTTCAATCACTTTAACATCAATTGGTATTAGAAATTAGCGGAAGTTTTTTGTTTGTTTGTTTTGTGTAATAAATATATATATATTATATTAGAAAATATAATATTTTATGACAATTTATATCATCAATATATCAATATATATATATATAAATATAAAAATTTAAATTCTAACATTACAAATGGTAAAATATTGTTCAATGTTTTTTTTTTTTTAAAAATTGTTGTATTTGAAAAACAAAACACCAAAAAAAACATTTGTCATAATAATAATAAAAAATATATTATAACGATAATAATAATAATACTGTATTATTATTATTATTATTATGTCATTAATATTATATAACTAAATATGTGTTTCACACGACTCTAACTTTTGCCACATAAGTGTCTTAAAAAATGGATGACTTTTTATCTCATTTATAGCATTCCTCTTGAATCCAAGTCTTTTCTCTGGAATCTGGAATTAAAGTCAGAAAATAAATAAATAAAATAAAAAATAATTAATACATTAAAAACAAAAATTCAAAAAATATATATTACTATATAATTATAATTATTACTTACGGATACTAATAACTCCTTCAATAGGTTCTGGGCATTTGTCGACTGAATATTTGCTATGATTTTGGGAATATTTTCGATAACTATTTAATTTTTAATAAAAATAAAAATAAATAAATATTAATTAATTAATTAAATCAATTGAAATCAGTTATCGACTTATCGACGATAACAACAATTATATATATATATATATATATATTTACCTTTCAATAGAAACTCGATGTCAATGTCTTCGACAATTATCATCTCTTTTTTATCACAATAGATATCAATGGGTGTCTGACCCGAAAGCATTTCGATGATTATGATACCATATGACCACCAGTCAGCTTCTTTACCATACTCTCTGCCCTACAATAGTCAACCAACCAAACAAACAAACATTTAAAAAATCAATTCAATTATCTCTTATAAATCAATATATCGGATCTCCCGGTGCCGGTCGTCACATACCTGGACAATCTCCGGTGCCATATAACTACAGTCGCCAAACGGATGACAGCTAACATCGCACAGTTTGGCCGACTCAAAATCGCTGATCCTTAGGCGACCACTTTTCTCAATGAGTATACCGTCGGGTGATAGGCCCCGGTGTAGGACACCTGTCTGATGCAAGTAATTCAATCCGATTGATAACTGGCCGGCAATATATTTGACCACATCGTCGGGCAACGGGGCCGACTTGATGACCACACCCAACGATACGGCATTCATGATATGTTCGCTAACAAAACAATAGGCAGCCTCTGTCTCGAAGAAGCCCTTCATGGGTGTCATATAGGGATTGGCCGATACTTTTTGCCAGACCAGCCGCTCATTCATTACACGTTTCCAACCGGAACTGATTTTTCTCATATCCGCCTTCCAAACCAGTTTCAGGACACCCCTGTCACCGGTTTTCTTGTGCCTAATAACATAGCAATTGGCAAATTTTTGACCATAATCTGGTCCCAGCCGTCCTTCGATGATTGTCTGCTCCGACGACCAAATACTGTAACTCAGATCCATCTGAATGGTGCCAACACTTTCATTGTTGACCTAAATATATATATAAATAATTATATTATTATTGTATTATTAATAACATAGTATTTAGTTATAAATTTAAATTGTTTTTTGTTTTGGAAATTCTTGTGTTTTTTTCATGAATATTCTGTATAAAAAAAATTTAGTCTATATTTTACTAATCTATATACTAGTTTGTTTGTTTGTGTGTGTGTGTGTGTGTGTGTGTGTATGTATGTAATACTATGTATCTATGTATGTATGTGTGTAAACTAAAAATATTTAATTGTGAATAATCATCTAAATTTTTTTCAACAAAATAATTTTTTTTTATTAACTGTATACTCAAAATAAATTAGAAAACATTTAGAAAATAATAATAATAATAATAATAATAGTGTACTAAATATTTTTTTTGTTGAAATACTTTACCAAATTATGCCAATTGATTGATGCAAAAAACGGATGCTCTTTGATGGACTTGGATCCGGTCTCTTTAGACCACTTAAGACGCTTAATTGGATCCTAAATGTTATCCATAACAACATCATCATCAACATCAACATCAGCAACAACAACAGGTAAAAGAAAATAATAATAATAATAATTAATTAAATAAATATTTAAAAATTTCGACATTAGTAACACATTAGTAAAACTATTAGTATATGACAATTGCTAATAAAAATTTAATCATTATTTTTAGGTAAATAGTATCAATAATTATTCATTTATATATAACTATATATATATATAAATATATATATATATAAATATATATATATATAAATATTTCACACAAAATCAAAAATAAAAAAATAAGACAATAAATTCAATATAAATAATTTAAAATACTTTTTCAAGAAATGCCGACAAAATGCTAAAAGCATTGGTAGATATGTGTTTCGGATAGTCTATCGGAGATCTAATAATATCTGTAACAAAAAAAATAAAAATAAAATATATTATAATAATATAAATATTTCAGATATAATATAGAAATAATAGCCAAATATATTAATATATGTATTTATATCATATTAATGTTACAAAATAAAATAAAAAAATCTATAATTCATGTCCATATCATATCCATATATAAATTTATAGAAAGTCTATAAAAATTTTTTATATATATAAAATTATTTATTTATTTATTTATTTGATGTACAGTAATGTCTGTCCAATAATAATAATACCATACCTTCCAGTGCTTCCTTACAGTTGTCTTTCGATATGTCCTTAATTAAGGCATCAATTGATTCGTGCTGTGATAGCATGGCTTTCCCAGTAAGCATCTGATAGAGACAACATCCCAGTGACCACCAATCAGATGACGGCTCTTTAATTGGGTTAATATATATATAATAAAATATTAAATTATTTTATAGATATATGTTTGTTTCATTATTTAACATATATTCGACACATCAATTTTTTGTGACAATTTATAATAATAACATTTTATTTTATTTTTTGTTTGTTGTTATATACAACAAAAAATTGTTTTGTTTTTTTTTTGTTTTATTCAAGTTGTCTATTAAGTTAAGTATATATATAAATAATATTAATAGTAATAATAATAATATTACCGAAAGTGTTTCCTTTTAAAATTTCCGGCGCTATAAATGGATATTTAAGTCGCTTTATGACATCCAGCTCATAGGGACAGCCACGTTGCTAATAAAATAAATATAAATTTTACAATAAATTTAAATAATATAAGTTATATAATAAAAGTAATATTATTTGAAAAACTATATTTATATATATTTTTATAAATTAAGTGATAATAATATAAGTTACATAATAAAAGTAATATTATTTGAAAAACTATATATATATATATTATAAATTAAGTAATAATAATATAAGTTATATAATAAAAGTTATACTATTTGAAAAACTATATATATATATATATATATATATATATATATATATTTATATATATATATATATTTATAAATTAAGTAATAATAATAATAATTATTATTATTATTTTAAATAATATTGAATGACAAATCTATTGTGGTATATGTTATGCTAATATTTATTTTTAAAAAGTTATTGTAATATTATTATTATTATTACTAATAACTATATTTGTTTTACTAAGAAATTTTGCTAATATTTTGATTGCTATACTCATGTGATATAAACCATATTATATACTGAATTATCATTAAAAAAAATAATATTTTTACAATTATTTAAAAATATGATAAAAAACTTTTCTAAAAATCGAGAGTAAATGTCAAACCGATATTATTATTATTTTAAACCAAAAAATAATATTTATTGATAATTATTTGGGTCAATAGTATTTTATTTAACATTTTTTTTTAATTTTTTAATTTTTTAAAAATAAATTTTAATCACTAATCAAAATAAAAGGGGAATTTTTCCGTTGAATCTGTCAAATTGGTGCCAAAAAGACTACAATTTTTTTAAATAAATTATTAATTTACTCTCTAAGAAGTCTACAGTATATTACAGTGAATGTAATATATTATTAATTAAATTTAAATTCAAAACACAACACAACTAAAACAACAACAAAAATATATATTTAAGTTATATATATTAAGCAATATATATATATACATAATATATTTTATGTATATATATATACATACATAAAATATATTATAAGTAAATATATTACTAAAAAAAATTCAAATAAATTATATTTATAAGTAATTTATTTGGATTTTTCTAATATAAAACGTCTAAATGAATTTTTATATTTGAATATAATATTAAATTATATCATAAAAACTAATTCAAAAATGCAAACCAACATATATTTTATATATAATTTTGTTGTTGTTATTGTAGATTAACTTATATATATATATATATATATATTGTTAGGTAAAATGCTATATGATATGGTGGGGGGTATAGTATGGTATGGTATGGTTATGGTATGTCTCTCACCTTACAGGTGCTCGTATCGACTATCCTGACCCGACCTCTCCAGTCGACTGATACGATATCAGGATTAAGACACCGGTGTACGAGTCCATTGTCGTTGAGTTTAGCCAATGCCTCGACTAGTTGTGCGCCAATCAGGCAGACATCACTTTCCTGTAGGGGTCCGGTATCTGATATCAATGTTTTCAACGAAATGCTAGGAATGTCATCATCGATGGTTGTGCCACCACTGGTTGGTATAGTAGTGATGTTGTTGTTGGTTGTCGTAGTAGTAGTAGTAGTAGTTGTTGTTGTTGTTGAAGTTGTTGTTGCAATGCATGACCTGACCATTGAATCAAAAAAACTAGTTATTTAGTTAAATATCTCCTTTTAATTAAAAAATAAATAAATAATTTATTAAATAATTTTGTTGTAAAAAGTTTTTTTTTTAATATGTTGTTGTTGTTAAAATGTTAAAACAGATTACAAACAATTACAGTAGTATATACTGTATATTAAATACTAAATATTTTTTTCAGTGATAGAAATATTTAAAAAAAAAATATTGTTTTAGTGATAAAATATAATATATAGTGAAAAAAATATAAAAAACAGGTGATTTTTGTTTTGTTAAATATTATATATATATATTATTTTAGTTACCAATAAAAATAATTTGTTTCAACAACAAACTAGTTATAACCAGTTATTTAGTATTTATATATATTATATAAAATTTGAAAATCTGTGTGTATTTTGAAAAAATAATTTTATGTGTATATACAGTACATTTTATTTATTTATATTTTATAATACTAATGTGTATATTAATCGGAAACTATAAATATAAGTGTATATTGTATATGATATATATATATATATATTATATTGTTTGTTGTTATAAATAAATTATTATTTAAAAATAGCAAATTTATTAAAACTATATACAATATAATAAAATATATATTTTAATTAATAATATTTAAATAAAACTTAATTTTTATCTTAAAAAATATAATTTAATAATAATTATGATTTAGTAGTAGTAGTAGTAAGTAATGGCCCGACACTAACCTGTTTTCGGGTTCAACGTTACCACCAAAGTATAATTGAAAGTTTGGATGCATTGACACAGCACTGGTAGGCCAATAGCACTGGTGTCTGATTTGGTTATTATTATTATTATTATTATAGTGTATTCCCTTTCGATGACTATTTCCAAGACAACTGAGCTCCCGGTTCTCGATTCTTGGATTCTTTAAAAAAATATTATCAAAAAAATATATTAATATTAAATATATATATAGTATATACTGTTTATATAATAAATAGTTAATATAATGTTTTTTTTTTAATTTTCGAAACTTTTTTTTCAAAAAAATTGCTTAAATTTAGTAATAAATGTTTAGTCAATCAATACTAGTTTAAAAACTATAGTACACTACTTACTTATATATATATATATATTTATTATTAGTTTTCAATAATTTAAATTTTCACTTTTTCATTGAAATGAGACAACAATTATATAGTTATTATAATATTTTTTTGAAATATATTTATATAAAACTTTTTTTAAATGCAATTCATTAATTTATGATTGAATGTTGACTATAATATATATAATATAAATTGTGAGTCAAATGATTGATTTATGGTATAAATAATATAAATTTATATATTATTTTAATACATTAATTCAAGGAAAAACATTTTCAGATAAACAATTTAGAAAAATAACAAATTATTTATTAAAATAATTTTATTATTATTAATTTAATTAAAATTAAATTATGTCAGTTATAACATAACAAGTATTAAACAATTTAAAATAATATTTTTTTGAGCTTATTTTTAAAAAAATATATATTATATGAATATTATGATAATAATAATAATAAAATATATACTTATATTCCTTATATATTGAATATTATTATATTATAGCACTGGTTGTTATTGTCAGCTCAACAACATATTGAGCCGATTTGCCAAACAGTTTGAATTTTCACACAAGTTTTATATAACCATACATACAGTACAGTACAGTATATACTGTATATATTCTGTAATTTAAGAGCACAGTCTCATTTGAGGCACAGACTCACTGGCGACTACTGTTCCCGTAACTAAAAACTATTACATATGACTGTACTTAATACCAACACCACCACTACTACTACTACTACTACGTCAATCAATTAAGGTATCAAGCAAAATATATACATATATATATATATATATATATATATATATATATGATATGACATGATATATTAAATTAAATATCACATTATTAAATATACAGTACTGTCGTCTATGGTGTCTAGTATATAGAAATTAGTCAAAATGCGCTTAAATAGGGGGAACGGTATGTGTTTAAGTGTGTGTGTGTGTGTGTGTGTGTGTGTGTGTGTGTGTGTGTGTGTGTGTGTGTGTGTGTGTATGTGTATGTGCGTGTATATGTATGTGTTAATCAATTTATGCTAAATGCTTTTAACCCAAGTTTTTGTAAAAACCATAATTTATTATATTAAAAGTTTATATGTCGAGGGTTTCAAAATTAATTAATGTATGTGTATTTTTGGCTATGTGTGTGTGTGTGTTGAATATGCCAAATATTATCCTCCAATTTATTGTCAATACATTACTTATTATATATTAATAAATATTTGTGTGAAATATTAAATTATAATTAATGAATATTAACAATAAAGTTAATAGAAGTTAACTAAACAACAACAACAACAAAAAAATTAAATAATAATCACAATAAAAATAAATAATTAAATTGAAAGTTGCATTATTTTTGAAAATTAAATATATATATAAATCATTAATTTGTTGACAAACAGACAAACAATCAGTTTTCTTCAAATGAAATAATTTGAAACATTCAATAGAAACTAATGATATATTATTTAGTTTAATTGATTTTTGATAGAAATAAATATTTAATTCAATTGAAGGCTAATAATGTTTTTATTTTTTGGTAATATGTCATGAATTCAATATAACCTTATTATTATTATTACAGTATTATAATGTGTGTGTGAGTGTGTGTGTGTGTGTGTGTGTGTGTGTGTGTGTGTGTGTGTGTGTGTGTGTGTGTGTGTGTGTGTGTGTGTGTGTAATCTTGACAATCAAATGTTAATGTTTGAAAACGATATGTTTCTATATACCTGAATAATATATCTCATAAATAAAGATAGATTTTTTTATGTGTGTGATATACAGTACATTTAAAATAAAAGATTTATTATTGAATATATATATATATTACATAAATAAATAAAACACAATGAAATTGATTGAGAAATTAATTTGAAAAGCATAACTAATTTATATATATATATATATATATATATATATATATATATATATATAATACTGTAGTACAGTATATACAGATATAAGTCATAAATTATAAATCTTTTTTTTGTTTTTGTTTTATTGTTTTAATAAATTAATTACTATTATGTTATTTCGTAAATCCATTTTATTGTAGGTATTAATTAATTTTATGTGTGTGTGAGTGAGTGTAACTAATTGTATGTATAATTTAAATATTGTTTTATATTACAAAATTATATATATATATTACAACATACAGTATATTTTTAATCATATATTACAGTATTTTTCTGTTATATGAAGTAAATTATATGAACATTATATTACAATATTTGTATATATATAGTATATACAGTATATTTTATTGTATAATATTAAATATGATATATTCTGTAATATTATAAATTACTTTTAAAATTTATTTATACATACACTGTACGTATGTGTGTGTGTTATAGTATATTAAAATATTGTTATATAAATTATATTATTATACACATTCAAAATCATTTTACCAAAAATAATTTGTTTACAATATAATATACGATATAAATTTGATTATAGAGTTTATTATATATATAAACCCGAGTATTATATAAATTTATATTAAAAAAAATAATTTGACTAAATATTATATTGATATAATAAAATAATAAAAAAAAAACATTTTAGTTTTATTAAACAACAAATTTTTAGTTGTAATTTTCAAGGTTTATGTCACAGTTTTTTTGTTGAATATATTATAAATTGTCGTCACATTTGATATATATATAAAAAAAATATTAATTTATATAAAGTAATGATTGACATAAAATTAATCCTAAAAATAAATTCAATAATAGTTAGATAATAAAATAGCTGTAATTTAATATTAAGTATACTATAAATATTATTACTGTATTAGTAATATTTTTGCATTTAAATGTCATATATTCAACACCAGTATATATATAAACTAAATATTATAATAATCCATATTTTTGTTGATTAATCAGTTTTTTTCGAGGAAAATATTAAATTTCAAGAATATATATATATATATATATAGATAGATATTATATAATATAATTTATATATATAAATATAAAGCTATATGTTGTATAATATTTTACGTTAAAACCATATTAAATACTAAATTGATATATAATTAAACAAATGTTGTGCTTTTAAAAAAAAGTAATTTAATATTATAGCAAAATAATCATTTAGTGTTTAGAAGTAGATTACTAATATATATATATATATATATATATATATATAAATTGTTTTTTTATATAAAACATCACTATATATAATATATATTATATATATTCAATATACTTAATATATAATATAACTTTATATTTATTTATATAACTACAGTATATATTAGTGTTTCTATATTTAGATATCAATAATAGTCACCAAAAAAAATCTGTCTTTTATTTTATTGCAGATTTTTATTTCTCTGTCTATTTTTATATAACAATATATATATACTATATATATATAGATATAGATAAAGATTGAGATTCTACTAAATAATGTTAAATTAGTTTTATTTTCCGCTTATTGTTGTGTAAACCAATTTTTTTCTAATGATTCAAACAAATAAAAAAAATTATTTTTTTTGGATCCATAACATTGTATTGTATGTATGTGTGTGTCTTAATGTTATTATGTTATCTATCAAATCGACAGTTAGTGATAGATAAAATAAAAATAAAAAATAAAACTACTAATAACATCTAATATATTATTGTGTTAGTTAGTAGCATAAAAAATAAATAAATAACATAAACTATAGTATTTCAATGTCATAGTTGTTATAACTTAGTTTATCAATATCAATCTAGATTATAACAATAATAATAATAATAACTATAAAAACAAATTTTTATAAATATCCCAATTTGTCAACACAAAAAATGTCAATTATTTATTATATTAATAGTATATTCAATGTCCAATTAATTTAATATTAATATATATATATAGATTGAAAAGTAAAGTTAGTGTTGAAAAAAAATTTCTGAATAAAGTTTTAAGAGAAAAAAATATTTTAATAATAATAATAATTTATACTAAAAATAATATTATTTTTCAAATCAAATATTTGACATAATTAGGTTAATGTTATATAATAATTAAAAGTATACAAATTGTAATATATTATGACATTGACAGTTATATAATGATTATTATTTCTAAAATAAAAATAAAATTAATACATATATTTTATATAAATAAATAGATAGCTTACTATTAATATATATATATACAGTATATGGCTTTTATATATATACACACAAAATAAAAAATAAATGCATTTTTGTGTCTAAACTTCTGCATATAATTCAATAGTTAATATTATCATTATATAAAATACATCAAAAAATCAAATTCCCAAATGTTTTTTATATTTCTAGTATTAATATATATATATAAATAGTGTATTTATTAAAATATAAATTTCATTATAATAGGCTCCCACTTAATATTTATATATAAATGTCAATTTTTAACATATAAGTAGTGAGAAAATGTATTATACAAAATATAATTAAAAAAATTGATTATTAATAATTATTATTTTGGTTTTAATTTTTTTCCAATACACGTTTTAAATGATTTTTTAAAAATAATAAATAAATAATAAAATTCAATTTAAAACTTTTATTTAAAAAAAACCAAACAAAATATATATTTGTATTGTTGTTTTTGTGTGCGTTTGAATAAATTTAATAATATTTTTTTAAACAAAATTTTGTTTTAATATAATACAAACATAATAATAATAATAATAATTTTCAACATTATATATACACAGTATATAAATTGTCAAAACATGTATAAAATATTAATAATTTTTTACTGATTTTAAAAAAAAAATAAAGTTTATTATACTGAGAGAAAATTTCTGATATTTAAGAAAAAACTATTTTTTTTAAAAATTATTTAAAGTAATTTATAGTAAAAGTTATTTACTTATAGTAGTAAATCAAATACAGTAATATATATTTCCAGTAATATATTAGATTAATAGTCAAGTATATTGACTTATAATAAGAAAAAATATTTTTTTTGAACCCATATAAAACAATGACATCTAAATAAATATACGGTATAATAGTATTAATATTTGTATTGAAATAATAATAATAATAATATTAAATTGATGTGTATGTGTATATGTGTAGTGTGTGTGTGTGTGTGTGTGTGTGTGTGTGTGTGTGTATGCACTTGAATTTAGTTAGTATATAATTTTTCAATTGAATTCAATGGTAAACATGTTGATTCAGGGATCGATGTAATTTTGTATGTGTATGTACTGTATGTGTGATGTCTATGTGTGTGTGTGTGTGCGCTCATGTATATGACGACATACCGGTGCTGAATACGTCAGAATATTCTTATGTCAATACAAACCATTACTCTCTCTCTCTCTCTCTCTCTCACACACACACACACACACACACACACACACATACATACAAACAATGTTAACAATTATTATTATTATTTTATTTTATATACGTTTTCAATAAAAATAATTACCAATAATTAATTAAATTATAATGTGTGTCATATTTTTATGATTCATAAAATATATATTAATATATATATATATATATCTACTATTATTAACACATTTCGTAATAATTAATTATAATAATTATTATTTAATTATTTTTCTACAGATAAATCAATGTTTGAATATCTATTTTTTTTATCAATGAGTTAGTACTATACTATAAATATTATAACCGGAAATATATTGTTGACAATAAATTTTATTTTTATCAAAAAATGATAATAATAATAAATATTTTTTGTTATCATACAATGTTGACATTGTATGATAAATAAAATATATTTATATAAAATAATAATATTAATAAACAAATATTATTGCGTTTAATTTAATTTTATAATAATAATAATACTAAACAAACATTAATATCTTAAATTAAATTAATAAATAAATAAAAACTAAATATAGTTTATTAAAAAATAACTATAAATATTATTATTTTTAAAAATATATATATATTTGTAAATAAATGATTTTACTTTTACCTTATATTTTAAGTAATTGATTTTTCGTTCAACTTTTTATGATATTTAAAAAAATAAAATCTTCAAAATTATTTAGTATTTTAACAATTAATTAATTAATTAATTAATATAATAGTCAATAATAAATCTTTTTTGATAAAATACAAGTTTTTATTGTTATTATAATAATAATCACAATTTTCAGGCATTTTTCTAAAAAAAATTATCGGTAACTAGTTTTATATTTTTTACTAAAAAAATTAATATTATTATTATTACAAATGATTTTTCACTGGCGCTGACAACTAACGAGCGGATGACTATAAAGTGAGAGCTTAAAGACCTCTTTATATATTATATATATATATATACAGTATATATACTGTATATACAGTTTAGGTTTTTAAATACAAAAAATCAAATAATAATATACAGTATATATATAAAGTGTTTAGCAATTTATTATATACTACTGTATAGTGTGTAGTGTGTGAGTGTCTCTCTCTCTGTTATATAATGATGTTGTACTTGAAATAAAAAACATGTATGAGTGAGTTTTTTATATATTAGTGAGAGTGAGTGGGTAAGTGAGTGAGTGAGTGAGTGAGTGAGTGAGTGAGTGAGTGAGTGAGTGAGTGAGTGAGTGAGTGAGTGAGTGAGTGAGTGAGTGAGTGAGAGAGAGAGAGAGAGAGAGAGAGAGAGAGAGAAGAGAGAGAGAGAGCATCGGTAGATGAATATATATATATAGAGAGTATATAGAGTATAGTAATATAGTTATAAACTGTTCAACTCGTGAGCGCACAGGCATTACAGTGTCAGCACAGACATCACATAAATACAACAACAATATATATATATATATATATATATAAGTCTTAATAATATATATATATATATAATATATTATTAGTGCCGCACATCATCTCACATGTATTTGTGCGCTGTTTTTTGCAATATATATATATATATATATATTATATAATATATAAGATCTCATGATTTTTTAACCAGAAAACACTGCAATTTCATTGCAATAATATTAGGCAATAGTAGTACAGTATTATTATTATTATTATTATTATTATTATTGTTAACCAATGGGTAAAATTTATCTTTAAATCTGTGTGCGTGTATGTCTTATATTTTATTTGTAAAAAATAAAGTATATTTTATTATACTATAATATAATTAAATTAAATTACTAAAAAATTACTTAAATTATTTTATAATACTTTATGACAATATTGTAGAAAATAGATATTTTAAAATTAAATATATTTTGTAATTTAAAAACAAAATTTAGAAAACAACACAAAACAACAATTTTTTTAAATTTTTTAATCTAAAGTATCATTTGATACTGTAATTTATATTACATAATATAGTAATAATAATATGTATTTAGTTTTAATGATTTTATTTTGTATTTTATTTAGTAGTGAGTATTAAGTATATTATTATATTATACTTTATATCCTTATACTGTATGTTAGAAAAGCTATATTATATAACATACTGTAAATATATATATATATATAATGTATTTGCAATTTCAATGTCATTATCAGTTACCACTCATTATATATATATATATTAATATTAACTGAATAAATAACTAAATACATAATAATAGTAATAATAATAATAATATGATAGATACTGTTTAACAAACAAATTGGTAAACAAATTACCCAATTATAATAAAGGGACAATAAATTAAAACATATTAACTATAATTTTTTTCTATTGATTTGTTTATTTTATAATAATAAAAATAAAAATAATAATAAAATAAATTATTTAATAACTAATAAAAAAAGCTCAAATTTTATATTAAGTTAGAAAAAAACTAAATGTATATAATTATTATTATTTAATATATATATAATGTGTTTAAGTTATTATTATATAATATAATAATTGAAAGTAAGTGTAGAATTTAATTGTAATATAATATATCATAAATTAATATCATATTATATGTCAACTTAATATGTATTTATAATTATTTAAAAAAACCCATAAACTAAAAGTTGTCAATAATTTAACAGTATATTATATTACTGTAATTTAATAAATAATTATTATATAAGTAAGTGATACTGTTATTGACAATTATTATTATTATTATTATTAAATATTTAGTATTAATTTAATCAAATATTCTTATAAATAAGTAATTTAATAATAATTTATGATTTTGATTATTATTAATATATTAATAATAATTTATCGATTAATTGTGTATTACTATTCAATAATATTCAATGAAATAAATTATAAACAAATTAAATATTTATTTGCTATATCTATGTTATATCTATGCTATTTATTTACTGTCAATATAAATTGAATTTGAAATTAAATATTAAAAGAAAATAAATAAATCTAATATTATAATAAATAATCTATTATTTGTTAGACAGATTATATTTAATATATATTGTACTTTACATTAAATATTAAATAGTAACATAATAAAAATAAAATTATTATTCATATTATTATTATTTTGAGAGATATCAAGTGTTTGTTATTAACTAATATCATATAATAATGATAATAATAATAAAAGTGTTTACCTTGATGCTTACATAATCATATTAGACAACATACATACATGTGATAAACAATTTTATAATAAATTAAAATGTAATTTGATTTATTAATTATATGAAAATATCATATTTTGCAAAAAATAAAATAAAATAATAATTTCCTAGAAGAACATTCACATTATAACATAATAACATATTAAATAATAATAATAATTATTATTATTAATATTTCTATATCTAGATATTTATTAAAACTTTATACATTTTTAAATAATTAATATAAAATTACTGTAATATATACAGTATATATATATATATATATGTGATATATACTGTATAAATAAAAATAAAATATTTTATTCAATAATTTTTTTAATAACTAATTTTTAAAAAAAAACTTATTTTATGACTATTCATATATTTTTAATTTAGCATAGTAATGTAGTATAAAATTAGCAATTTTACTTTTTATTGTAAAAATACATAATTAAAAAATATTTTGAGAGAGAGAGAGAAATTGAGATTGAAATGTAATATACTTTTTTCAAAAAAAATATAATAATACCAGACATACATGTAATAATTTTTTTTTGTTGAAATATAAATGCAATAGTATTGTAGATACTTAATAACGTATTATATATATATATATATATATATATATATATATATATATATATAAATGTAATAATAAATGTTGAAATAGTTTATCATAATAATAAAAGTGATACTGTGTGCGTTTTGTAATTAAAAAAAAATAACTAAATAAGATATTTATGTTTTGTAACAAATGTTAACCAACAAAAAAAAACTATTAATTTATTGTGAAATACATTTCAAAAATAAATGACACTTAAAAAAGATTTTTTTTTGGTTAATAAATTTTACTACTAATAAAAAATATATTAATATATTGCTAAAAATTACTTGTCTAGACAATTGTAGGGTTCATATATATATACAATATATACTGTATATACAGTACATTACAATAGAATTTATTGCTAAATATAATTTTAATAAAAAAATTATTTTTTTTATTATAAAAATTTGCGAATTAATTGCAATTGAAGGTTAAATTTTTATGATTTTTCAAAATTAAATATTGAATTTATTGATTTATATAAATACAGTATATATATAAAAAAAATTATAATCTAAATTATAATTAATTAATTAATAATAACTATTATGATTTATGATTATATTATAATTTAATTACAAATAGTACATTGAAACTTTACAATTCAACAATAGTAACTATGTGATTATTTTTCAATATATAAATTAGTAAATTAATTAAATAATTCAAATTTTTAAAAAAAATATAATAAAAATAATATTAATTAAATAAAAATACAATATATTTTACTGACCTTTAAATATTTTGTTAGCTTTATTTGACTCATATTTTTTTAAAAAAAACAATATTTATTATTATTACTGATTTTAATGTTAAAATCAATAAATCAATTGATTAATTATTAAATTGATATAATAATAATAATAATATCACATTTAATAGGTTAAACAATATATATGTTTCGGCACATGTTTGAATTATATAATATTATAGTCAATAATAATAATATTATCACAAAATTTTTAAACATATAAATTAATTTTTCTTATAACAAATAATATATATATATATATAATACACAATATGTTTATATAAATTGAAACACAAATCAAATAACAACCCACTCATAGATACACACAAACAAAACACATAAAGAAAATAATTATATTTTTTGTCAATTATAGTAAYAATAATAATAATAATAATAATACTGAAAATAATGAGACTTTTTTCAAAGAAAATAATAAGAAATAAAATCACAAGAATTATTAAAAAAAAAATTTAAATAATTATTTAATATTTTTGTTTCTCTCTCTCTCTCTCTCTATCAGATATTAATCAGTTATATATTTATTATTATTATTATTTAAATAGTAAACCAACAACAAAAAATGATAAAATCAATTATATTAATATAAAAAAAATATTTATTAAAATAATAATATATAATTTATTGTGTTTTTTGTTATCAACACTGATGATTAGTAGATGAAAGTAATAATATTTAATAATAATAATAATAATAAATATATAAAATTGTTTGACAATAATAATAATAATAATAATATCCAATAATCTTTATTTAATAGTTAACATAAAATATAATTATTTTTAAAATAAAAATTTACTGAATATTGTATTACAATTATTTGTAAATGTCATTGAAAAAAGCAATTTAAATATAAAGTTATATATATTTATATTACTGTATATATATGTGTGTGAATGTCATTAAAAACTAATTTTTGTTCAATAAATTGTTTGTTAATGGTTTTTGTTTTAGTTTAATAATCAAATTTATAAATAACTTTTTTTTACTTTTAAATAATACTATGATTAAAAKAATAATAATAATTTTGATTATATTTATTAATTTGTTTGGTATTATGACTGGGATTATAAATAGTATATTAATTATTGTATATAACAAAATCAAATACAATATAGTACTGTATTATAAGTTATGATAATAATAATAATAATAATAATAATAATAATAATAATAATAATAATAATAATAATAATAATACACCTATTATTAAAGTATTAAATTAAATCTATTGTATTATAATATATTTTTTATATTATAATAGTATTAATACAGTATATAATGGCATAAAAAATAAATATAAAGTTTGTAAATTATATATAAATATTTAACATATTATATACAGTATATATTAAATTAATTAAAAGTTATATAACTGTTTCAAAAATATTTTAGTTTAATTTATTTATTTWTTTTWAAATAAAATATTTTAAGGTTTAATTAGATATACCGTAAACCAGACCTTGAAATACAAACACAATTTTTATTATTTTAAAATAAAAAGAGATTATCGTTAACATTGACATCAATTTACTATATTATTATTATTATAGTAAGTAATTTTTGTATAACAAAATAAATTGTGATATGCAATGAAACAGTATATCTATTAATAATTATAAAAATTTTCAAATAAATATATTGTATTTAATATGTATAGTTAACTTTAAAAAATGTCTTATCAAAATATATATTATAATTTAAATTAATAATTGTCTAAATTATTTTTATTTAATTAATTATTATTATACAATTGTACACAATATCTACAAAATTGATTATAATTATAATAATATATAATCCAAAAAAATAATAAACATTATTCATAAAATTATTATTATTATTATGAAAAATTTGTTTATATAATTTAAGTTACAAAGTWGTATCAAATAAATCATATCACGTTTCAGGATATAAATTATATATATATATAGAAAAAATATATGTTTACATAACATTCAATGTATTTATATATTTAAATAAAATATTATAATATTAAGTTATTTAAATAAACTAATATTTAATAGGATAACACATACACACACGCAAAATGCATTGTCATTATTATTATTATTATTAAATTTCTAATTATTATTAATAATTTTTTTTAGATACGCTTTTGAAAGCTAAGTATCACTCTATCTTTGGGTTGTATGGTTAGACCGAACCGATCCTCAAAACCTAACAGTTCTCCATTGGCCACACTTACTGTATAGCGTTGTAATAGTGTAACAAAATAGAGAAACACCTGTAGCCGACCCATTGATTCGCCAATACACGACCTTTTACCTATTAATTGATTAATTGATTATTAATAATAATAATTTATATAAATATTTATATTACAGTACTATTAGATATATTAGATATCATTATACAGTTTATAGTGATATAAATTATATATATAATAATCTATAAAATACAAGAATATTCAAATATACAATAATAATAATATTATTACTATTGATTAATTGTTAAGTAAATTGTATGTACTTATTGTTTATATATAAATATATAACTTTATATTAGTTTATGAATTATGTAATTAATTATAGAATATTTTTTTTGTTTGTTTTTATCATTTAAATTTGTAATCTAATGATAGATATGAATATTATATTTTGAATTAAAAAAAACATTATAAAATAGGAAATATTATAATTATAATTAGCAATTCTAGTTATTTATAGTACAATATATTTATTTATATATAATATTACTATATTTATTCAATATAATAATAYAGTAATAATAATGTAATAGAATACAGTTTATTTTTAATAATAATAATAATATGACCTAAATATAAAATAGTTATTTTGAATATAATAAAAAAAAGTAAAGAATATTCTTAAGTTAAATATATATTAAATTTTATTCACATAATTATATATTTGTTTAATATAATTATTATAGTAATAGTAATAATTTCTTTTTTTTATTGTAATTATCTTATAAATATAATATTAATAATTTTTAATATACACACACAAACACACACACACACACACACATACACACACATACACACACATACACTCACACWTACATACATACACACACACACACACACACACACATATATATATATATATATATATATATATATATATATATATATATATATATATATATTATATACTCACACTTACATACATATACATACACACACGCAATAGATATAACACACTGGGAATTGTATGATGAATATGTGCTATGAATTAATTTAAATTAAATTTTCTATAGAAACTATACATTACACAAAAAAATAAAATCTATTTTAAAAATTCTAGTTTCAATAGAATACAGAATATTCTTTACAAGTTTTTTCTATCTCTCTCTCTCTCTCTCTCTCTAATAATTTGATAGCTTTTCTTAGTTGAGAATCTATTTTTAGGTTATATTATATATAAATATATATATCTATTGAAATTAACAGACAAACAAAATTAGGTGTTACACAATTGACGGTATATATATATACTGTATACAGTATATACTAATATCATTTACAAGTTTAATAGTAAAGTTTTTAATATTTTATTATTAAAAGCAATACAAAAATAAAATAAATTAATCCCAAAAAAATATATTCTTAGAATAAAATTTAATTTGTAACACAAAATAAAATACAACAACAAAATAGATAGCAAATTAATTCCTAGTATACAAATCGATAGTAGTTTACAATTAGTTTTTTAAATGTTAATATTAGCGCATACTTTATTAGATCTCTCTCTCTCTCTCTCTCTCTCTCTCTCTCTCTCTCTCTCTCTCTCTCTCTCTACCTATAAATCTCTTATCAAATATTTGTTTTACAAGTAATTTTCAACACATAGAAAAAAATTGTTTAAATTAAGTTAAAATATCATATGTGATGTTAATATATATATATATAATTTGAATATTTAGTTTGAATTTTTAGATATTTACTTTATGTGAGAGTTTTATGTGAAATTTACTTTTTATTATTTTTTTCTGAATGAAATATATTCTTTATAATACAATATACTTTACATAGTTTTTCTATTGAATTAATGATCAAAAAATAATTTTTCATATAATAATTATAGCGATTTTTTTGAGAGAGAGAAAGGATTTTAATTTTATTGTTATATATTTTTTAAAAATATAATAAACTTAACAACAGATAACATAACATATGTAGCTTTAAATTTAGTAAATAAATTATTCAATAAAAACTGGTAAAAGGATTTTTCTTTCTAAAATAAATAGTTATTTTATAAATTATATATTCATTTACGTCAATTAGGTTTATGTGTATTGAAATTTTGAAATAATGCACTTTAAAATAATCTTTTTTTTAAAGTTTAATTTTATTACTATTTTTTCTATTAAATTGAATTTGAATTAGCTATAGATATATAATATATATACTGTATATATTATTTAGTTAGATATTGAAAAAAATTAATTTAATCAATTTGAAATGTTTTCAAACTAAATTATTTAGTTTGAAATTCATCAAGCACAAAAAAATATGTAATGTATAACTATATATATATATATATATATATATATATATAGCAAACATGTGTAGATTATTTTATAATAAATAAATAACAATGAAAATAATTGACTAATAAATTGTCAAATAATAAAAAACCTTAATATTTCTAATAAATATTTATATAAAAAAATTTTTATTACATTTATATATATATATATATATATATATAGTATTGTGTAACCATATAAAATTAAATGCATATATATATATATATGTGATATATTATTATTGTGTACATTAAAGGGGTACACAATATATTTCAATATTAATAGATATGTAGAGCACCGGGTATTAGTGCCAAATAGGATACACACCATTAGTATGTCTTATTTTTTTTTGTTGGTTAATGTTATGTTGGGTTTTTGGATTATTAAGTGCTTAAACCCATAAAAAGTCACTTAGTTTTTTTTGTTGCTAATATTTATTATTATATAAGTTTATAAATACCGTTATATATGTTATATATTCAATACCAGAGAGTATATATATATATATATATTTATTTATATGTATATCCTTGAGGTTAACTATAACTACATTAACCATTTGACTTGTATTTAATAAATTGTTTTTGAATGAAAAAAAAAGTTTAGTATTTATTTTTTTTGACTGCTGTCTTATTATGCCATAAGTTATAACATATATCACACTATAATACAGTATACATAAGACACAAAAATATTTTTATTTTTTTTTAAATATGACATGAATTGTTGGTGTCATTAATGGCAAATATGTGTGTTATGAAAATTAATTATCTATAAATACTGCCATAATTTATCTATTAATATATCGACTAAATTTATTTCAAGTATAAATAATATATTATAATTTTTTTTTTCAAAAAAATTTGTAAAACAAAACTAAATTGTAATGAATTGTATGAAACAATTTTTTTTGAGAAACAAAAATATTTGTATAATTAGATAAATAAAATATATAGTGTATATTGAATAATGTGATGAATTAACAAAATTTTTAGTTGATATATATATATATATATATACTATAATATTGAATAGATTTTGAATTGTGTAAACATTAAATATACAACAATAAATTATTTTTTAAAAATAGTAATCTAAATAACAAAATATTTTTTTAAAAATGTTTTATACAAATTAAAGTAATTAAAAAAATATGTTGTTTATAATCATTATAGTAATTATTATAAACAACATATTTTTAATTACGAAAATTTATATAATGGTTTTAAAAATATTTACAAATAGTTATTGAGATTACTATTTTGAATAAAATAAATTTTATCTATTATATATCTAACTATTTTATAAATCATTAATATTATATATTGTTATATAGTATTCATAGGGTTTACAATATATACTGTATATTAATATATTATATATTATAAATAAATATTTAAAAAAATGGTTTACCGGTTGAAAACGGTATTAAAGCGTCTACTGGTATAACCTGTCGGCCGTCATCTGTTAGGAAACGGCATGGATTGAACAGTCGGGGATTATCCCATACTTTTGGATCGTTATGAACGGCCCATATGTTGGCCAAAATGCGGGTATTTTTGGCAATAAAATGGCCCAAAATTGATGAATTATCTATTGAGCTATAGATCATAGATAAACAAAACATATAGGAAAAAATAGCATATTTTCAAATAAACTATTTTCTAAAAAACACACACACAAAACAAAAATTATTATTATTATTATTATTATATAGTTTTTAATATTATTAGTAAATTATTTTTTAGCTAACTTTCCCCAATCATAATAACCGTAATTACCTTCTCATTAGGTTTAATGGGAATACAGTTTTCCAACGAAATACTTCGTTCATAAAGGCTTCGGTAAACGACATGTGAGGCCTATCAGCCCAATAGGGCTGACGACCCGGTCCTACAATACTATCGATTTCACGTTGAATCCTCAGCTGATGATCACTATTACTGGCCACCAATATAAGTGCCCATTCGATGGTTGTCCGCACCGGTTCGTTACCGGCACCGAAAAATAGTCGACAATTGGCATTCAATTTGCTCTCTTATATAATTTGATATATAAATTTTGAAATTGAATTGAAATTGAAATTAATTTTTAGTATAAAAAATAAAATTTTCGATGATTTACTTGTAAACATAGTATAGGGATCTTTTTGTTGCCTTAATTGCATTTCACCTAAATATGAATCGATATAATTATTGCTACGATTTTTCCAATTAAATGATTTCTCATGAGATCTGATTTCATCGCTTTAAACAAAAAAAAATAAACAATCAATCAATCAATCAATAGATATATTAAGTATCAATTGAGTGGGTGTTCAACAAAAAAAAACAAGCAAACAAACAAACATACAAAAAATTATCTAGATAATATTTCCCAGATTATTGATGATAATATTTTTTGAAATACTTACTCAAATATGGCAAATACTGTATCAAATTGTTTTTTATTATCAATGCCGCCCACCCTTAATACCAGTTTGCTAAACCATACCGGTGCCATCGATAAGCTGCCGATGACCGGAAATCGTTCGTAGGCTATACTGATCATCTGATCCAATGCACAGCGCAACGGATGATTATAATCGTACGAATGGCCGAAAACCAATTCAGACATAATATTTGAAATACTCGGCCTGAGTAGTGACCGCAAATTCATTGGCCGTCCGTTGGCGCCGTCGATAAGTCGGATCAGGTGTCGAAGTTCGGCTAAGATTTTCTCTTCCAGACATCCCTTACCGAAAGTGGTCTCTTTGAGTACTTTGGCTGCAAATCGGCGCTGATCTCGCCATACGTTTCCCTTTTGGTCAATAAGGCCTAATGTATTAGACATTTATATGTTTTTTTGTTGTCGTTTGTATTATCAACAAAAAAAAATACAAAAATTAATTTTTAAAAAATGCAAAATACTTGTCGAGTTGCCGATAAAAGTGAACGGACTGTTTGATGGACGTCCTAAAAATGCGTCCTTATGTAGGGCATCCCTAACGGCTTCCCAATCGTTCAATACAACAACGTTATGTATGCCTAACTGTAGTCTATTTTTCAACAACAAAAAAATTAATTAATTAATTAATTATTAAAAATTTAATTAATTTTTTTTCTAAATTAAGAAAAAAAACTTTACGTAAAAACATTTCCATAAATGTCGCCCAATTTGGCAATATCTTTGTGAGCTTCATTGCCAAGGAATGGTAGATAACCGACAATAGGCAGTCCAGTGGGACCGGGAGGCAGATGTTTACGTAATTTCAGATTATATAATACGTGTCTAATGAATGTCATAAATATGACAAACAATGTTAGAGAACCTAAGTTTTCTAACATATAGTTGTTTAACGATTGTATAATTAGTTGCATAATTAAACTATTAATTAATTAATTAATGAAAACTATTAATATAATAGTTATTGTTTATTATTATTATTATTTTTTAATTAAAAAATGGTTAACTAAATATTATTATTTTATTTTAATACATTATAGTAGTAGTAGTATTTTATTTTATTAATTTTCAAATTCATTATTATTATTACTATTATTATTACTAAATGCTTAGCAATTATTATTATAGTTGCAATGATTTGTACATTTTTATAGTCAATATTGAAATAAATTTTTTTTTCTGTACTAAAACATAGATAACATAGATATTATCGTAAGATATCAAGCAGTCATCGGCCAGTGATGACTAAACTACTTGGAAAGTAGTTTATTATTATTATTTATAAATATAATAATTATTTTTCAAAAATAATAAAATCAAAAATATTGTAAAACAACAACAAAAAATTGACAGAAATATTGAGATTTCAATATTCAAATTAATTTAATTGATATCTTAAACATTTTTTGAGCCATAATTTATTTTTAGTAAATAGTTTATTATTGTTATTATTATTATTTTTATATTATTATTAAACATTTACCCAATGGGTAGAGTCATATTTTATTTAATATATATTATCACTGTCTAAATAATACTTGAATAATCATATCATTTTTCATTGGATTAAAGTCCATATACTGTATATATATATACAATATTTTTTTTGTGTCAACCAATATTTATTATTATTATTATTATTAATTTATATCATATGTTTATATAATAAATTATAAATCACTTTATTTATTTGGTTGGAAAATTTTTTTTAAATAAAAACTTTTTATAGATTGTATAACACAAGTGTAATATAATAATATTTTATTTGTTATAATTTCAACTCTTTTTTGTTGTTGCTATTATAAAGTACAATATTTTTCAATTATGATATTTTTTATTTTTTAAAAAAAATATTAGATTAATTGATAGTAATGCAAAAAATTAAATATAAAGTGTATGTATGTATGTGTGTGTGTGTGTGTGTGTGTGTGTGTGTGTGTGTGTGTGTGTGTGTATGTGTATGTGTGTGTATGTGTGTGTATGTGTGTGTATGTGTGTGTGTGTGTGTGTGTGTGTGTATGTGTGTGTGTGTGTATGTGTGTGTGTGTGTGTATGTGTGTGTATGTGTGTGTGTGTGTATGTGTGTGTGTGTGTGTGTGTGTGTGTGTGTGTGTGTGTGTGTGTGTGTGTATGTGTGTATGTGTGTGTATGTGTGTGTATGTGTGTGTATGTGTGTGTGTATGTGTGTGTATGTGTGTGTGTGTATGTGTGTGTGTGTGTGTGTGTGTATGTGTGTGTATGTGTGTGTATGTGTGTGTATGTGTGTGTATGTGTGTGTATGTGTGTGTGTATGTGTGTGTATGTGTGTGTGTATGTGTGTGTATGTGTGTGTGTATGTGTGTGTGTGTGTGTGTGTGTGTGTGTAAGTGATGTCAACTATGGGGCAGAGTCTCAAAACTTTTAGCGATAGCGGCGATACATAGCGTCATGTATTTTGATTATTATTATTATTATTATTATGTTATCTGATTGAACCATATATTTGATATGAAGATTAATATAATATTTTATTTAGTAATAATTTTTTTTAACTAATTAAACCCTGATTAATTTTCAAAATTAGTAGCATAATCAATAATTAAACTACAATTGTTATCTCAAACAAACTAAATGTCATTAAAAAATTTTTTTTTTTTTGAGACTCTGCCTCATTGAATGAATTTTATTTATATTTTTTAAAAAACACTTAATTGCACTAAAAACTGTGTGCAATGTGTTTGTTGTCAATCAAATTTATTATTATTATTAAATTTAATGTATAAAAAACAAGTTTAATTGAGAGGTTAAAAAATTTAATATTAAAATGTGTAATAACTTAATAACATTTATACATAAATATATTAATAAATAATACGAAAAATAAAAAACATTTAAAATTTAAAATTTAAATTGTATAAACTTGTATATTTATTTATTTTTATTTTTTTTGTTAGAAACTTTAACATTGATAAATTTTTTAAAAAGGTTCATGGCCATTGTATATTTAATAAAAACATATTAAATAAAGTATCAATATTTTTTTAAAAAACACATTTATTTTAGTATCTATGTTGTTATTTTTATATATAAAAAAATATAATTATAATATTATCTAATTGAATGTTTATACAATTAAAAAAAATGTTTTTTTCAAATATTTAATTAATTTAATAGTTAATATAATTAAATAAAGTTTAAACAAATTTAAAATTATTGACGCAATATTAATGCAATAACAAAAAAAAATTATATAAATTTTTAAATATATGATAAATAATAATAAAATTAATTAATAACATTTTTTTTAGTTAGCAATCAATCAATTTGAATAAATTTTTTTTTTAAAAATTGACAATAAATTTATAGTAGAAAATTAATCTCAAAAAAATGTAAAAATAATAATTTTAATAAAATAAGTGAATTAATTTGTTTGATCCCCAAAAATTAAATAGTGATTAAATGTCTATTAATTTCATGGTTTAAATGAGATGAGTCTGTCTTCGCCGTTGTCGTCGTCATCATCAGCGACAACAAAATGATAGCCGTCTTGATGTCTGGAGGCGAGTATCTCTTCGTTGATGACATTGAAACCGATGGCTACTATACTAACGCCGCCGCCACTAACGTCGTCATTGCTATTGACTTTGAACGGTCGGGCCTTCAACTGGACTCTGGTTTCAACGCCCGCCGCGTTGTCCGCCGACAGGACAATACCGTCACAGTCCGGGCCGTAGATGTATATCTTTGCGCCGTTAATCGGCTTTAATGTTATCCGATGTTTGCCGTTGATTACCGTCGACATGTCGGCGACCATACGATCGTCGTTACGATTGAACAGTTCTGCCCGCAGTGTTGCCCGATTGGCACCACTACCACCACCACCACCAGCATCGGGTAGCAGATCCAAAATCCGAGTACAGATAGCCGAACCTTCAATATTGCCGACAACTGTACCGACAGTATAGTTTTGGCCGTTACGGTACAGATATAACAAGTAGTGAATGGCCGGACTAATTGTGTTATTGTCGATGAGTTTAACGGTCGCCGCCTTTATTGGCGATACCACTTCTGTATGCGATGTGGAGGTCGACGACTTCGGTGATTGCTTTCGGCGATGGTAATGATTTTTATCGTGACTACTATGCCGTAAGTATGAATAACCAGTTTGTTGTTGTGGTGGTGAAGATGGTGTCCAACCAGCAGTTTGTTGTGACGAAACCGGTTTGCGTACACTGTATGGCGATATTCGGCAGTTTTTACGCAAATCAGTTGTCAATTTGTTTACCAATTGATGACCGCGAGAGTGAAATACCAACTCATCTACAGTGGATGTGGAAGAGGACGGGGAGGAAGACAATGGTTTTGACGGCAAATATTGCCGTTTATACTGTTTATTGTCCAACAGTTGTTGTTGTTGTTGTTGTTGGTGTTGGTGTTCATCGTCAGTCAAATCAAATAATTTATTGTCATTAGTATTACACCAATCAATCGGTGGTTTGTTTGTCATCGTCGTCGTCGTCGACGACATGTCTTCGACATCTCCATAATCATCTGATGGCTGTGACAGTTGGTCACCGGTAACGGTAACGTAAATTTCGGGAAAAAGCCATAGCCTATCGGCGGCGGCGGCGGCGGCGTTACCATTGAAATGCCAATAATTGATTGATTGGTTTTCCGCAGTCATTATATACAGTATATACCGGTATATCAACTAAAAAGATATTATTAAATACTAAGTTTTTGTAGTTATTATTATTATTATTGAGGTATTTATAAAAAAAACAATTTAATCTTATTTTAGTAGTTGAAAATAATATTAATTTTTTTTATATAATAATTATTTGAGATTAATAATTAATAGTTTAACGTATAAATTAACCATTAATTGCAACAATAATTATATATATCATAATAATTATTAATAATAATAATAAATAATTAAATACTTTGTTGTGTTAGTCTCGCGCCGGACATACAGTAATACAGAATATCAATTCAATTGTGATTTTTTTTATTATTACTATTTATAATACAATTTACAACAAAAAAATAAGTCATCAAATAGTCGTTTAATTAAACAATTATCTTATTTTTTTGTGTGAATCCATTCAATTGATGGCCAATTCATTGATGAACGTCGTCCAGACATTGATGTCGTCGGTAGTTGTGTTGTCGATACTGTGTTTGTTGTTGTCGTCGATGTCATCGATGGTTAACGGTTACGCTGACGAGGGCGATGAAGAAGTAGAAAAACCGAAAAGTTTGTGCGACAATCCCACTGTTCATGCGGCCGATAGAGCCGACGGTAATACCTATCGGGTCTATAGGGACAACTACTTTTGGCAGCTAATTGGATTGCCTAACGCACCGGTAGAACTACGCGGCCCGTACAAGTTGGTCTGGAAATACATGGGACCAGTCGACAGGGATACAAGTATAACCACTATAACGTCGGGACCGAACAAAGGCCAGACATTTAAATTCCAGAAAACCCGATACTGGTCGTGGAAATCGGACGGCGAACAGGTTAATGGCGGCGCACACGGAGATGATATACCGGACGCACCGGACGGCGGTTTCGATACCGTACTAAACGATGGCGATCTCGACGGTAAAGGCTATCCGTTGTTTATCGGCTTTCGCGGTGTTTATGTCTACTACTATAAGGCTACGCCGTGGGAGCCGCTGGACAGTCATTCACGAGATGGTTGGATCAATGGCCGTAATAATGAATCGTTTCCGGCGGACTTGACCGCCGGGTTTGTCTTTCCGTCGTCCGATACCAAGAAATCCAAATACTATGTGTTTCTGTTCAAAGGCAAACAGTACTGTTTTCGGCCGATTTCTGGCGAAACCGGTTGCAAACAATGGAAACCGAATTCCGAACTGTTTGGTTGTACGGCTAAAAAATCGTCGCCCGATTCGGGCAGCGGTGGTGCCGATACTCAGCCGCCACCGCCGTCGACGGCCAAACCATCGCCAGATGAGTCGGAGATAAACACATTGCCGTTAGAATATACGGTAACACCGACAGCAAACTCTGGCCAACAACAACAAACTCTTGGCGTACTGTCCATCATTACCGGTGACCACCGACACAATTATTATCGGCAACTAATTATCAATATTATCAGTTTGATTGGCATTTATTTTCTATACTCTAAGTGTTTATAATCTACTTATACTGTATTATATATTAATTATATATTGATATATAAGACAATGTTTTTTTTCACAATTTATAATTAGTATTTTTTTAATTTGATATTTTTATTTTATTTTATGATATCCTAAATTGTATTGTATGATTGTTTTATTTATTTTAAATATTTTCTTTAATTAGACAAATATTCAATTATTATTATTATTATTATCGATAATATATAGTTTGCATAAAAAATGTCTAATTATTATATAATATATAGTAATTTGTTTATAACTAATAATTTTTGTTTCTTTGCTTGTTATTCATTCATACAATTAATCAATATTTATATATTTTTTATGATTTTTAGATTTGATTTCAACTAAATATTTGTTTATTTCATTTATTTTTTAAAAATGTAAACTTATTTTACATATTAACTAATATTAATAAAGCTTTTTAAAAAAAATAATAATTTAAATAATTAATTATTTGTTTGTTTGACGTTTCTAATGCTGTAATGTTAAACAAACAAAAAATATAATTTAATTTAGATATATTTTTAAAAAAATCTATTAAACTAAAATAACTTTTAATTTTTTGCATTAATAAAGTTTGCATAAAACCCTTGTTTATCAAATGTTTCGACAAATTGTTGATAATTTCTAGTATTGTTTTGCATCATAAATGTCTTGTCAATCAACCATTGGTTACGATTGCCGATAATCTCTGTAGTCGTGGGTCGGGTATTATATACCGGACTCATCATTGATGTCAACAATTCATTAATAATTTTAATTAAATCAATTAATATCGTATTATTATTATTATTGTTATTGTATATAGTTTCGGGACTATTAATCATATAAATTATCATAAATTTAAAAAAAACAAACAAATAATTAAATAATTTATTACATACTCTGAAAAATTGATATCAAAAATTTGGTGACCAATAATAGCCAGACTATAAATATCAGATTTTTCATTGTAGTCACGTTTGAATACTTCAGGCGCCGTATAGCCAATAGTTCCCAGTTTTGATGTATGACTATCTGATTGACTATCCGTACGGTTGTGATCAGTGGACAAACCAAAGTCACATAGTTTTAGAAACCGATTGTCAATTACCGGCCTATCATTGATGAGTATATTAGCCGGTTTGAGGTCGCGATGAATGACCGGCGGTTGTCTTGTATGCAAATATTCAACGCATTCACACATCTCTAACATTATATGACTAGTAATGTAATACTCGATACAATCCATCGGTTCATTGGATTGTCTTTGAAATGTCTTTGACTTCAGTTTAATGATATCATTAAGACTTTGTGAATATAAATCCATTTGAATGTAAATTTTTTTCGACTCTAACCACGCGTCCAAACAGTTGACCACAAACTTTGACTGAAGTTTCAACAGTTGTTTGACTTCGTCTAAAATTTTTAGTTTCTGTTTTTGATCTGAAAATAATAATAATATTAAAACAAATTAATTAATATTATTAATAAAAATGCTATTATTTTTGTTGGTATACTTTGAATACTGATCTCTTTAATTGCAAACAATTTGTTTGTTTTATTATCAAAACATTTGTAAACTTTTCCAAAACCTCCCGAACCTAACTGTACTGTTTGATTGAATTTTTCGGAGAAATTTCTAAACTTATAGGAAATTCCATAGAAATRTCTAATTATATCAATTGTTTTATAAGTAATTTGATGTTTATCGGCATATATATCAATAAAACATTTTTGTTGATATTTTTCTAAATTAATATTATTATTATTATTATCGTAAATAATTTTATAATAATTGTTGTCATCATTTTGTTTTCTAATATAATAACCGCACATATCATCGATTGAATGGATAATCAATTTTATTGGTATTTCATATATTATATGGCTATTAAATATTCCGCATTGATATACATAACCATTATTTGATAAAAAATATGTAAAACTATAGTCATCTGTTATATTAGTAGTTGTAATACACTTAATATTTTTCAAATTATTAATTAATTCTGGATTAAGATATTTAGTATTTATTTTATGTCCCAATTGATTGTTTCTATTGTCACCCCAACTGTATACAAGTTTATCACTTGTTATGGCAAATGAACAATCAATGTAACAATAAATTGATTTAATGATAGTATTTGTGGGAAATATAATACAAATAGGAGTTTTAATGCAATCGTTTTGTTGTTGTCCGCAACCGCACTGTCCGTATGTGTTAAGACCCCATCCATAGACAGTGCCATCACTGCTGAGGGCCAGTGAATGATGTGAACCACTGGTGATATCAATAATATATATATCGCTGAGGTATGTAATGACTGCTGGTTTGCTGTACTTATCACTGATATGTCTACCCAATTGATTGTTATAATTTAAACCCCAGCTATAGATTTGTTGATCACTTGTTATACACAATGCAAAGTCACAACCGATACTGAATTTTTGAACATTTTTCGATACAATTCAGGTATAACTTYGGGTTCATTGATATCTATGTTGTGACCCAAACCAAGTATACCACTCCTGTTATCACCCAATGTATAGACGAAATCATTTTTTGTTACAAACCATACACTTATAAGATTGCAATGAAATAATTTTATTTTATATTTTAGTTTAAGTGATATTTTATAAGATAATGAAAATTTATTTAACAAATCATTGGTTAACATTTTGTTTGTTTTTTTGTATTTTATAAATAGATTATTTTTTAAAAAAATAATTATTTACATATTATTATTAACACTAATTTTATTAAACTAGAAAAAATTAAACAAATTATTTAAAAAAAATAATTATTTATATATTATTATTAACTTTAATTTTATTAAACTAGAAAAAATTAAACAAATTATTATTGAAAAATGTCTACACAATGAAAAATATTATTGTATTTAATTAATTAGATATAAATATTAATTTATTTGTTATCTATAATTAAAAAAAAATATTTGTYATGGTTATTATTATTTTTTAATTGTTATCTWGGTAATTTAACTTAGTATTATATATAATAATAATAGATAAAATAAAAATTTTACTAATTAAAAAAWTTAACTTATATTAWACTATTAATTATAATTTCAATATTATTATTTTTTATGTTAATTATATCTGAATTTATAAAATGTTTAATAGAAAATAGAAAATAAAATAAATTTTTAATTAAATATATAAATCTTAYATATAATTAAAAATCATTAACTCTCACAAAATAATTAGACAAATAATATTTAAAAAAAATAAAATATTTTCAAACAAATAAAATTCACGTGAATTTATTAAACCAATAAAATTCACGTGAATTTTCAAAACCGTACGAAAAACAAGAATTGAATTCACAATTCTGTTAAGTCTTCAACAGAAAAAACCAAACGACTGTTCGCTTCAACTGTTTGTTTGACCACAACTTTGGCTGTAGTTTTTCTTGTAGTGATCTAATCTGATTGTTGTTGTCTTCACACTTCACTTCCACTTTGTGTGACCACTAGTGTTTGACTAATCAATCAATTGATCCATCACTTAGATCAGCGGCCACTCATAACCAACGAAAAACCAATAATGTCTTCATCGTCATCGACGACCACAACTACTATAGCTGTCATCTATTCATTAGTGCTGATCATCTGTGTCTTTGTGTGTCTGATTCAAGTAACGCATGGCATTGATGTCAATATCAGCGATAGAGTACAGCAACAAAACAATCACAAAGAGCTCGTCCAGACACCCGATTCGCGTATCAGACTCGCCAAAGATGAGGTCAATAATCCGGAYGAATGTACTTATCAGACGGCCATTCATCTGATGACCGTTTGTTGGATTCAATCGCTAAACAAATGGCAACTGAACGTAACGGGCGTTGAGTTTAGCGGTGCCATCAACTCGACCTGCGGTACAACCGATCGCTACGAATGTGACCTCAGGTTTTGCTGTGCAACCATCGATGTCAAGGCCTGTGCCCAGGATTTGGCCCAATACGTGTGCGCCAAGTGATTTGGCCGCCGGTCAGACTATTATTGACCAAAGTATTAGCTATATTTGTCCGAAACAAATGCCGCCGAAAGCTTGCCATTCGGTTGAGTCGTTGGACTGGTTTAAGAGCCAGAATTCGACCRCCGATGGACACCAACACCAACAAGATATGGACGACCAGCACAAACACCAGGSCATTGTCAAGACGGTCGGCGCCAATCGTATGCAAMGAATCAGTATTTATTTGGCATTCAATTCGGCYWTCAGTTCTTCTTGTGTCTCAACTTTATTCTTCTTCATTGTTACCTTCAGTTTTGCCATTGCTTTCATTATTACTTATTAATTAGAAATTAATTAATTAATTAGTTTATTAATTAATTAATTAATCCCAATATATTTAGTTCACATTTTTTTTGTAAAAATTTGTTTTTTATATTTGTTTTTGTAATTCAAAGTTTAAATTCTTTCTTTTAATTTTAATTGATTCACAAAAATATATAAATTTATTTAATTTTTTTGTTTGTTTTCTTTCTCCCTGTAATTGTATCTCATTTTTTTCAATTAATTAATGAAAATATAAWATATTTTCAAAAAAAAAAGTTTATAATACTGTATAAATTTAATATTGATATTTCTATATTTAATAAAATATTTTAAAACAATATATCTATTTTAAAAAAAATAATWAACACAAAAAGTTTTTAGTTAATTACAGTTAAATACTAAAATATAAAATACAGTAAATTCTTAATATTATTATTTAAAAAAAAACTATAAAATTTATCATTAAGTATTTGATATTAAATTATATAAAGTACAGTATAAAACACAATATACAGTGTTAAATGATATCAAAAATTTTTTTTATATATTACTGTATAAAATGATTATTAATTAATAGATATAGAAGTAATTAATAAATATTTAAAAAATGTTATCAAATTATAATTAGCATAAATCGCGTGGAAATAAAAAACAATTCAAAAAATAAATTAATAATTCAAATAATAACTAATTAACTTAAAAAACTTAACAATTGATTGATTGATTACCGAAAAATTTTGTCAATTTTTTTGTTGTTGAAGATTATCACCGAAAACAACGATAAAACAAACAAAATGTTGAATTCACTAATTGTCGAACTAGTCTTCTATGTCCTATTCCTCTACTTCTTTATGGCAACATTTGTGGCCGAATTCTTCAACGGACTGCTCCAGACATTTGTCTGTGTATTCGGTTGGACGACCATTCAGGACAATACCGACGGCAGCGGTAATAATAGTCTACTACTACAGCCCTACTATTACTCGTACGTTATTATGTTAAGTCTGGCCGGAAATATCGTCTTTTTCATATCGATGCTYATCTACGGACCGGTTATACACTCGTTGGTCACCCGACCGGTTCATACCACGCCAGCAACAGCAGCAACAGCAGCAGCAGCTACTGCTTCTGCAGCTGCGGACAACAACTCACTGGCCACTAGACGTCCACCGATGGCAACAATGTTGGCGGCCAACAACATGTCCGCTGGCGGCGGCGGCGGCGGCGGCACACGACTGATCTATTTGCGTAAACGYCCGGTATTTCATGTGTGTCTGTTTACACGCTATGATCTGTACGGACTACTGGTACTGGTCTTCATCGGCAGTCAATATATGCTTCAATGGTGGGCATCGGTCGATGACTTTAAGCCCGTGGAGGGCATGATTTTCATGAATAATATCGATTATTACAAGAATAGTAATAATAATGACAACAAATCACAGCAACAAACTAATTGTTTTGTCGACGGTCTATGCGATGACCTAACCGGCCAACAGGCGCTACAGGGTATACACCAGTTTCAACAGGACAGCCAGTGTTGCGGTTGGATTGACTCTACCGATTGGTTACCGAAAAATGCCTGTAAATATCATTCGTTGCCCGCATCGTGTTGTAGCCAACATTTGGCGGCCGACAACTGTTCGCTGGCCAATCCCTACCGATTTCCGACCGGTTGCCATCAGTTTCAACTACCCGTACGCAATATTATCGATCCGACCCGCTATTCCGATCATTGCTACGGTTTGTATCCCATATTCAAACTGTTGGCAATCATTAGCTATCAGTTTAGTTTCAAAAGACTGTTCAATGGATCAGCTTTTCTGATTCATCTAAATCTCTATTTGCCGGCAATTATACCGATTATTTGAAAACTGATTGTTATTTATTTTATTTATTTTATGGTTTTTGTTTRATAACTATTTATTTTCATTATATTATTTTTTTTGTGGTTATTTTCCCAAAAACAAAAAAAAAGACAATTTTTATCTTTTATTTTTTTATCAATAACTTTTTGTTTGTTTGAATCTATTAGTTTTGTTTTATTTATTTTTGTTTAAAAAATCCCATTTTTTTAAAAAATCAGGTTTATCATAATTTTATTATATTAACTGTATTTAGTATCTATTGATTGATTGATTGATTTATAACTATAAATATATCCCAAAATTTTTGTTAATTTTATTTATAATATTATTGTTAAGTAATAAAATTTTTGTTTTTCAAAAAATATATAAAATTATTTTTTGATATATAAATTTCATATTAATATTTTTTTAGCGTACAATGTATGCAATATATAAGTATAATTTTATCATAAATTATTTATGAATAAATTACTTATACAAGCAGTAMGTATTAATTTAAGTAATTTAAAAAAACATAATACTGTATATTAATAAAAAACAAATAATTAAAAAAAACAAATACAGGTAATTTTCCCCTAATTAAATAAAAATTTCAATTTAAATATTATTAATTTTATTTTATCGAAAAAATTTCCTCAAAAARTTTAGTTTTCATACATTAATTAATTTACACATTAATACAGTAGTATAATAATAACAAACTTTTAAAAATATATATAATTTATATAATACGTTATATAATATTTATTTTCATATGAATTACATTGAATATCATTATACAGTATATACGATATTATATAATATATATATATATAAACAGTTTATACTGTATATTGAAATAAATTCATGTTTGGCGCTCTCCATACTAATTGGTTGTACTGTTGGTGTAATAATATGGAGGAAACCTAAAACACAGCAAACATTTTCCATACAAACAAAAACATTTCCGGGAATTATTTGGGAATTTTTCCCTATTATTGTTAATTTGGTATTTGTATTGCTATTATTGCAGTTTAAAGTATTGCTTTTCAATAATAATAATAAATAATAATAATATTTATTACTAATAATAATAACTTATAAAAAATAGTTTTAATATAATTATTATTATAATTATTATTATTATTAGACAACAGTTTTTTTAGTCCATAGACACAGACATCTGATCTCTGATCGCTGAAGAGACAGACTTCATAGGATCAGATCATATCATCACTGAGAGAGAGAGAGAGAGAGACAGAGAGAGAGGAGTGACAAACATAATGTCCTCCGACGCCGACGCCTCCTTGACCACCATCACCACCGTCGCCGTCGAGGCCGCCACTGCATCGACATCGACGTCATCGCCGCTGCTGAAGAATCGCCGCAAACCGAAAAGCGTTGTCTGGAAGTACTACGAAACGATTGTTACCGATGATGGCCTCGACGGCGGCGGCCACGAAGTGTTGAGCTGTCTATTTTGTGCCCTAAAGATTAAGCCCGGTATGGCCAAGAATGCTACCAAATTACGGCAACATTTGGTCGAAAAGTGTATGGAAGTACCGGCCGATGTACGGGACAGTCTACGCGATGTCGATTTGATTACCGGCGGTGGTGGTGGCCAAAAGATTACGAAAACAGCGGCCAAATCACTGGCCAAACAGTTGTCCAAACAGATAGTATGCTATCATTATATATATATATATAATCTGTTTGTTTGTATTAAAGTTTTTTGTTGTCAATATCACAGAAACGTGAGGTCAATGAAGACGATTATGAAGAGGAAGAGTCATTTGAGACGATGGCGACGACGACGACAACAATTACACCGATTATCAGTCGAAGTGGTCGTAAAAGTAAACCAAACGTCAAATATATTGATAGATATGTCGATGAATTTGTTGGTCATCATCAGCAGCAGCAACAGCAGCGACGACAAACGTCAGCCATGGCTTCGTCGTTCAGTAGACCAGAAKTAGCCGACGATGAAAATGACGAGTCTTTAGCTAATAATAATAATAATAATAATCAAACATTTAATGAGACGCTAAATAAGCGCCAATTGGTGGCCAAAGTTAAGAAATTGAAAGACGTTAACACACGTCTGTCTACACAATTGGGTCAATGTCTTCAACAGATGGATATATTGTCGAAGATTAACAAACAATTGGAACAGAGTGTCAGTTTGATGTTCAGATTGGATTCAGTCAATAGAGCCCATTCGATACGATTTGAAGATAATGATGAAGAAGTTGAAGAACTGACTGAACAGTTGAATGCAAGTAACGAAGCAGTGAATGAATGGAAAGTTAGATTAGAGGCTATTATATTTGAAAACCGAAAATCGGGCCGAAGTTTTTCGGGTCAATCGGGAAACAAGAAGTCATTGTCGGACAGCACAACAGAACAACAACATCGAGAACCGAATCATCGATTTGGCGATACTTTCACTGTATAGACAAAGAAGATTACAAAGAAATTAAATGTGTTTTCTGTGAACAAGTATTTCGCAAGAAAAAGTTGAATGCATTTCAATCGCGACTGCATATTGTCGAGACCTGCGACAAGTGTCCGAAAGATATCAGAGATAAGGAAAACATTTGGCGMCCGAAATCGCGRATCAATATTTGGCAACATTTCAATGTTACGGGTGTTGAAGGTATCGATTGGTGCGCTCTGTGTCGCTATTGTGGCCACAAATATCAGCACAAAAATGCAACAAAAGCCCGAAAACATTTACTATTCAATTGTAGYTCAATTCCCGACGATAGCAAACAGTCGATCAGGAAAAGCTATTTGGCAAAGACGACAGCGGCTAATGCGCTGCTGAAGACAACTGAATCATCGTTGATGTCTGTGACCAACAACGATGATAACATGGATGACGATAATAACATTAGTGGTAGTAGTGGCCAAACAAAAGATCCAAATGAAATCCATTGGACAGATGGTTATGTTGATGTCAATACTACTACTACTAACACCACCGCCGATGAAATGGATGGCGAGTTGGTTACCGCTGATAATAGTGGTGGTGGTGTTGATGAGGATGAAACTCCAGACGATTCCACCGAACGGCTACAACTAGTTCTACCRCCAGTTAGACACAAGTCGACTGTCGATGTCTGGATTCATTATATGCTTTTGGGAAACAAATGTTGTGTTTGTAAATACTGTGGACACAAATATTATACGAAAAATGCTACCAAATGTCGCACACATTTGCTACAGAATTGTCCGAATATCGATAAAGACATCAAACAGTCCATCATTGATGAACACATGAAAAATGTGGAAAAGAATGACAGTTGCTATTTGTCGCCGAAAACCAATAACAACAACAAGAATACGGATAGAGTGTTGTCGTCATCGGGAGTTAAACCGAAATCACGTGTTTGGGATCACTTTAACGAAGAGTATGACCAAAAGGGAACAATTGTCCGCAGATGTAAATACTGTGACCGCGCGTTCACTGCAGGTGTCAATCGTAACGCTACGAAAATGCGCTATCATTTGGCACTGTATTGTACGTCGATCGACGAGCCGACCAAACAGTTGCTTATTGGCGATAATAACGGCGTATTTATCCGTAAACCTGTTCGCCTGCCGGGCGGTGTCCGCCGACACAAGTCGTCRAACGGCGGTTCGAAAGTATGGGACTGCTGTTGGCCCGGTTGTGACAAAAAGTTTTCCAAACAGTTAGTGTTTTTTTTTGTAATTACATTACCGTATAGTCGCATGTGTTTGGATGTTGTGATAATTATTATTATTACCGGTAATCTCTTTTTAATCACCCACAGTTGCCAAATGATTACCCACCATCGGGTGCACACTGGGGAACGGTATCATTGCGATTGGCCAGGTTGTGAGTGGTCGGGCAAATCGAAAAACTATTTGAATCTCCATAAGTTTACTCATTCCGGTAATTAATTTTTGTTTCAATAAGTTTTGTTTATTTAGATAATAGTTATCATATCAAAGATTTTATTATCAAATATTTTTTATTATATATTTAGGAGAAAAACCGTTTGTTTGTGATTGGCCCGGATGTGACTTCAAATCCAGTCGACCCGCAAGTCTACGCATACATAAGGTAAGGCATACATACCGTGTATTACCTGTCCTTATATAGAGAACCATAGGTTCAGATATAAAGACAATAACTATACGGCAATTGAATATTATATATATTATTATATAGCTATTAGTATATATATATATCGGTAATTGTTTTTTAAATCAATGATTTATGTTGTGTTTGATTGATTTGGATTCACAGATGCGACACAATAACGAATTGAACTACCGGTGCGATTGGCCAGACTGTACCCGTGTGTTTCTGACCAATTCGCAGCTAAAAGTCCATCGATTGGTCCATTCGGGCGATCGGCCGCACGCCTGTCAACTGTGCGACAAACGTTACCCGACATTCAATAAACTAAAAGTACATCAAAACAAACAGCACCCGAACCAGGAAACAGTTTAATCATATMTATATATATTTAACAGTAATTTTTATTCAAATATTTTTTTTAATATACTAATTATGTAATTATATATTAGTAGTAGTAGTAGYTTAATAATTCATTATTTAATAACTGATATTAAACCCATTCGACATTGATAACCATGTTTTTAAAAATAAAACCATATATATAATTATCATACAATATAAACATAAATATAATAAAAAGTTATTGTAGTATTTTTTTTGGTTGTATATAAAACAAGTATTTAATATTAATTAATATAATACTTAATATAATACTTAATAACACTTTATAACAACATTTTTTTTGTTTCGTTTTTTTTCTCAAAATGAAATTTGAAGTTAATTTAAAAAAAATAATGTTTATATATGCTATCAWTACTTAAAAACAAAAATATAATAAAACTAATAAATTATAAGTACAATAATAATAATTATGATGAAAATAATTTATGATCTTATGATAAATGACTGGCTAATGGCTGATACAGTAAACCCAGTTATATAGATTAGGCCAGTTATGACATCATCGGTACGTTGATCGGGATTGGTATCGATTGTCCAGAAAATTAAAACATACCGATTGTTATTATTACGGACACAATAGACTATTAATATGACAATCCATACGATAATCGACAAACAGGTGGCTATGATTGAACACATCCAGAGTATATGGTTTTGTTGTTGACAATAGCTTACTATTGTAAATATCGATACAATTGCCGTACAAACGGTGGCCGCAAATGTCATGGTTTGGTCGTCGATAACAAAATCAGTTAATATAGCATACAGTGTATACTCGACGGCTATACCGCTGATGAATGCACTCAACGATAGTACCAGTAATGCCAACTGGTCTTTGGTTGTCATATTTTTGKTGTTGTTGTATAAAAAAATCAAATTATAATTTCAAAAAATGTATATTAAAATCAATTTTTTTTTGTTGAGGACAAACAAACAAAATATTTGAAATTATTGAATATATTAAATAAATTAAATTTTTTTGCACGAGTTATAAATATTTAAATATTWWATATATAATTAAAAAATATTTATTATATCWAATTATATTTATATTATTATTATATCAATTTGTTTTTAAGGATTATTTTAAACATTTTTATGAYRATCAATAACTTGGATTACAAATCAATAAAAATAAATATCAAAATAATTTTATTAAATTATTTGTTAAATTATATACTATTTATTAATAATTGCGCTAAAAATTATTTTTTGWAAAAATTACTAATAAGTTATTAGTATTAATTAAAAATAATGGAAATTTTATCTAAATACTAAATACTAAAATTATGACTATTAAAAATGTTTAGATTAAATGATAATTTTTTTGAATAGTTTATTATTGATAAAAATAGTGAGGAAACTTGTTATCAAATTTCAAACTATTTATAACTACTTAAAATCGTTAACAATAATAACTAATAATAATAATATCGATAAAAATTTTATCATTTAAACCCAATAAATAAATACATAGTTTTATTTGAAAAATATATATACACAGTATAATATATATATATTAGTAAATGAAATAAATATATTTAAAAAATACATTAATAATAATAATATGAAAATATACAATAAGTAAATTAGTGTATAAATACAAATATACATTTAAAAAAAATATAAACATTAATAATTATTATAATAATAATACCGTATAATAATAATTGTATACACATTATATATCATACATTTACATTTATAATAATTTGTTAAAATGTTATGTAATAATAAAAATTGTTTATAAATAACATTAGTTTTTTTGTAAATATAATTATTTTTTAATGTATAGTTTTGGTCTTTTTTTAAAACACAAAAATTAAGTTCAAATAAATAATTTATATAAATATATTAATAGATGAATTGTAATGTACAATTTTTTTTAACAATTTAAATAATTAAATTAAATAAGGTATAAAACAACACAGTTAGTAATACATATATTTTTATATATATATATATATATATATATATATATATATATAAAACAATGATTAAATTATAATATGTATATTATAGACAACAAATAAGTTATGATTTATATGTATATATATTAAAAAAAACTAACTTAAAAAATACTAACATATATTATTAATGATAGTGATTATTATATTATATAAATAATGACAACATTTATAATTATATATCGATTTTTTAAAAAAATAAMTAAATTATAATTTTGTGTCTCTAATCATAAGGTTTGGCCGATTATTWTTTGGTGCCGGCGTTAGGCTTAGTAGTGCACAAGTACTGGCACACAATTGCTGGTGTCTAGTATTACAATTATCATCAGCACCGGTAGTATTGTYAGTAGTATTGATGACATCCAAATCGATGAGATTTTCATCCCAGAACCTCTTGAGACTGGGAAGTAGGCTCTCACTGCCCGTCCTTTTTCTAATCAAACCTGTATTTGCTTGTGGACTGGATTTCAAGTCAAATAATAATAACTGGCGGCTAATATTACACTTTATGGAC